AAGGATTTGTCTGTGTGTCGGTATGTACACATGAGTACTTTTGCCTACTAAGGCTAGAAGAGGAAGACGGATCCTCGGGAGCTGGGATTAACAGGTGATTATGCCCTCCCAGATGTAGGTGCTGTGAATTGAACTCAAATAGCCCAGCCCTGTAGTTCTGTTGTCTGTGGCACATGTGGCCTCTCCTTGGGCCAACTCCAAGTGGTCCCTGCAGTCAGCCTCTGTAGATGTGTCTGGCTCCAGCATTCTGGGGTTTTCATTACAACTTAGGCTTCACCTTCATAGCTTCACGTACAATGCTCTCAGATGTTTCAAGGGGAGAAATCAGATCCTGATCCATATTGCTGGGCCTTAGTAGCTCTCTGGAATCTTTACGTAAGCCTCCAAGATAATTTTTTAAATTATTATTATTATTATTATTATTATTATTATTAATTTTGTTTGTTTTTTGGGGGACAGGGTTTCTCTGTGGCTTTGGAGGCTGTCCTGGAACTAGCTTTTGTAGGCCAGGATGGTCTCAAACTCACAGAGATCTGCCTGCCTCTGTGACACCATTGACCTAATTAATTAATTTTAATTAATCCTTAATTAAAAAATTTTTTTTCTTAATTAAAAATTTTTAGACAAGATCTCTTTCACACTGTATCCCTGGAAGGCCTGGAAAACACACACACACACACACACACACACCATAGAAGGCCAGACTTACCTCTGCTTCCCCAGTTCTGGGATTAAATTTTCGAGCCACTACATTCAGTATACTCCCTTCCTGTTACATCATGCATTTCTGCAAAACAGGAACCATATGAATAACATCGTGTTCTGCTACCAGCTCAATGTGTAGCCTGGCCCTTGAACCTCAGAGCACCTACCTGGCTGATCTTGGGAAACACTTCTCAAGGTGGCCCTGCTTGGGCAAGATGCCTTGAGGCTCTTGGTTAAAGTTCTCTTTTCAAATGACTCTTCACTGTTACATTCTAGAGCTGTCTGTGGGGGAGGTCCTGCCCTCAAGGCACCTGTAGCTATTGACCCAATGCAAATTGAGGCTTCTCCTTAATTGTGCTAATTTTTTAATAACTATGGCACCCATCTTGTCTATCCTGTCTACAGCTTTAACAAACTCCCAGTTACATTTTCACATTTTTCTGCTCTTTGAATTCTTACTATAAACTTCACTAAACACATTGAGCAATAACTATAACACAATCTGCACATTATGCTATCTTGAAATTTCCTTTGCTAAACAGATTAATCCATTTGTGTGTGTGTGTGTGTGTGTGTATACTCTGTATGAATACACTTGTGTAGATACCTGCCTGTGCATGTGTGGAGGCCAGAGTAGGTGTCCTCTACCCTTGTCCGCTTCATTCTTTTGAGGTAGGGTCTCTCCTGCAACCTGGAGCTTATGTTTGTTGGCTAGGCTGGCAGTGAGTGAGGCCCAAGGATCCTTCCCTCTTCACCCTGCTATTGGATAGGAGCAAGGCTTTGATGAATGCTAGGCAAGCACTCTTCCAACTGCACTGCATACCCTTACCCTGTTGTTAACTTCTAAGCCTGTTCATGATTGAAACCCCAGCACTGAAACAGGGTTGTAAAGCAAGAACCCTTTATAAGACAAAAGCACAATGGCTTGTTGAGTAAAGGTGGCTACTGCTAATTTGACTACCAAAGTTTGATTCCAGGGACCCACATAGTGGAAGGAGAGAACCAACTTCTGCCAGTTGGTTCCTAACCTCCACGTTTATTGGTAGTACACACACATATAAATAAATGTAAGTTTAAAAAAAGGTGGGTGGTGCCTGAAGAACACCTTGGTCTCCACACATACATGAACATGCATACACAAAACCAGTGAAGGAAATCCCAGCATTTGGGAGGCAGAGGCAGGCAGATCTCTGTGCGTTTGAGGCCAGCCTGGTCTACAGAGTGAGTTTCAGAACAACCATGGCTACACAGAGAAATCCTGTCTTTAAAAAAAAAAAAAATCAATGGGGGGGAAAAAGATTATACTAGGAGCAGGAGTTAGAACACAAAGAAGGGGAGGTAGATAATAAAAGTTTGAACTTTTGTTTCCTTATGGCACTGGAAATCTAGTCCAGAACCTTTGCCTTCAAGGCAAGCTCTCCCCACAGATGAAGCTCTAGGTCCCAGTAGGACCTTTTCTAAAGATGAGAGAGAGAATGACCCGGGAATCTGGAGCTTTGCTTTGCAGCCTTGTGGTAGACATGCTGGGGCAGTACATATCCCAAGTGATTATAGGTGTGCTGCAGAAACATGCACTTTCATAATTTTAAAGAACAGTGTTGTTTGCTTAATGTGTCTGGGACTGCTTATAGCCGAGTCAACAATTTAATAAGTAGACACAGCAAAGAACATGTCAGCATTTGGTTGTTATGACTTGCCAGCTCCCAACAAGTCTGTTGCACATTACTGAGTGGACAGCACCTCCTACTGGAAAACAGTTGTCAGCATGTGATTTCATTGTAAATTATAATTTGATTGCAAATGATTTCTCTAACAGCAAACACTGGATGTTCACATCCCCTGTATCTCAGGGTTTGCCTTTGCATGCATTATGTGTCCCACCCTTGGGTCCCATCTCTAAGATTCTCTAAGAAGCAGTATCTATGTTCACAGATCCTAAGGGTTCCCAGTTGCGAGCCAGGCAGAACTAGGTTAGCGCCAGAACCCTGCCCTTTCATTGTCCACAGGTGTCTCAGCCAGGGAGAGTCCTGACTGCACTACTTGAAAGTAATGATGGGATAGGTCTCAAGATGTGATGACGGTACAATCAGATATGGGAAGGAGCTGCCTCAACCTGACCAAGAGTGGCTATGTGAGGATCTGGAGAACATGGTGCCCAGGCAGCTAGGGTGTCGGGTTAACTAGATACCTGCTTTAACTGCTGTGGTCATCTTGCAAGGTGGGTATGATCCCAGGCTGTGCCTAAAGAGCAGAGACCAGTTCAGTGGTATGGCAGGTGACTCAGTGGCTCCATCGCCAGATCTCAACTTTGCTTCTGGAAGGGGATTATAAGCATCTGCCTGGTGGCTGGCAGCCTTCAGGCCACCCACTGTGATGCTCCAAGAGGCTATGTTTAGTAGCAGTTAAGATGACAGCAAGCATGGGGTTAAACTTAGGCCAACACGTGCTGTGTACACCTTTCATCTCTGGGTCATGGAAGACTTCATTCATTCCAAGGCCTTTTCTTGTCAGCATGGCAGTAGAAACTCTCCACGAAGACACAAATCCTTGCAGAGGTGTTTGAACCTCAGAGTTCTGATGGACTGTGGCTCACTCAAGTGAACTGTATTGTTCTATTTTTCTTTTTCTTTTTTTTTTTGGGGGGGTGGCTACTGGTTTCTAAGAGTTTCCACTTGGTACTAGGCAAACAGTTATGGGCTATCTTAAGGTGTATCTGTGGCTAAGATAGCCCAGGAGTCCAGCAGTGGGTCCTAGATCTGGAACTGAAGTTGTAGATGGTTATGAACCATTATGTAGGTGTTGGGACTCAAGCGCAGGTCTTCTTACAGAGCAGCAACTTGAGGCCAACCCTTTTTGTTTTTTGTTTTTTTTAGGTGTGGTCTCACTATATAGCCCTGACTCTGATTGGTTTGGAACTCACCATGTAGCCAGTCTGCCCTTTGATTCAGAGATCCACTGGCCTCTACCTCTGAGGTGCTGGGATTAAAGTTGTGCATCACAAATCCTGGCTTGCTTCTCTTTTTTCTTTTTTTCGAGACAGGGTCTTTCTTTATACCTCTGACTGTCTTGGAACTCATTATATAGGTCAGATGGTCTCAAACTCAGAGAGCTCTGACTGCCTCTGCCTCCTGAGTGCTGGGATTAAATGTTTATGGTGCTTGGTGGTGGTGATGGCAGTGGCGGCGCACTCAGGAGGCAGAGGGAGGCGGATCTCTGTGAGTTCAAGCCCAGCCTGGTCTACTGAGTGAGTTCCAGGACAGGCTCCAAAGCTACACAGAGAAACCCTGTCTTGAAAAACAAAACAAAACAGGTTTATGACACAGTGTTGGGATTACTTTTAATCATATATACCTATGTGTATCTGCGTGTGGATATGTGGACCTGAGAGTGTGACTGTGAGGTCACAAGAGGGCATTGGTTCCAGTGAAGCTGGAAAGACAGATGGTTGTGACCTGCCTGATGTGGTTGCAGGGAACTGAACTCAGGTTCTCTGGAAGAACAGAACATGCCCATCCCCAAGGTCCAGCAATAGTTTTTAAACTTTTGTTTTGTTTCAAGACAGGGTTTATTTGTATAGAGTGGGCTGTCCTAGAACTAACTCTGTAGACCAGGCTGGCCTCAAACTCACAGAGATCTGCTTGCCTCTAACTCCTGAGTGCTGGGATTAAAGGTTTGTACAATCATGAGATTATACATTATATAATTATGTTAACTCACCAGGCAGTGGTAGTTCTTGCCTTTAATCCCAGGCAGAGGCAGGTGGATGAATCTCAGTGAGTTCAAGGCCAGCCTGGTCTACAGAAAGAATTCCAGAACAGCCAAGGCTACATAACGAAACCCTGTCTTGGGGAGCTGGGAGATACAGTTATCTCAGTAAAGGGTCAGAGAGATGGCTTAATGGGTTAGCACAACCCAGGTTTGATTGCCAGCACCCACATGGATGGCTCATAACCATTAATAGGTCCAGTTCCAGAGGATCCCAGGACTTCTAGTCTCTTCAGGCACCATTCATAAAGATGGATTGTATAAGCATGCAGGAAAAACATTCATACATGTAAAATGAATCTAAGTGTTTTTTTTAATTATCTCAGTCAGTAAAGATGTAGGCTTATTCTTAATGTTTGAAATAAAACATTTTAAATTACTGATAACTATTTACAAACAAATACTAATGTTGATAACATGAAAACAAGATTTTTAAATATAAAAGAAATTTCATGGTAACCCAGCTAAATTGAGACATGTGAAGTTTGCCAGTTTTTTATCTTTTTATTGTTTTTGTTTTTCCAGACAGATTTCTCTGTAGCTTTGGAGGCTGTCCTCACTCAGTAGACCAGGCTGGGATTGAACTCACAGAGATCCATTGCCAGGCTGTTTTTGTTTTTTTTTTTTTTTTGTCAGTCTGTTTTATCCAGTTACTCACAGTACATATACTCCTGAGCATACTTCACTGTGATTCTCAGGTTTCCTGCATTTAGCTTACAAGATGTTTCTTTCCAAGAAACTGAACTTTTCTCTCAAATGCAGTAGATCGAATAGGAGAATTGGGTTCATAAAAGGGATTCATGGCAAACTTGATGTATAAGTCATAGACATCAGTGAAGAAGTTCTTGATTCCGTCTTCTTGCCTCATGTCATGAAGCATGATGAATCTCATGTGCCCAGCGGTGACAAAAGCTGACACAAACCACTCATTGAATTTGTCCACAGTTTTCAAGTACATGTTGTTGGAGAGCCACATGTTTTCATCAACCAGGTCCAGAGCGGCGTGAGCTATGAACTGGTTCAGGTGGCGATGTTCATCTTTGGGTTCTGCTTTCCCAGCTGGCAAAAATTCCATTTCAAAAACTGGATTGTCATGGTGACCAACAATTACAAAGTAGAAACTTCCAGACATTGTCTTCTGTATATGTACAGCTCTTGTAGCGAAATGCTGGCAACAAAAACACTCGGTCAATACATGAAAATTTTTATTTTATTTTGTTTTTGAGACAGGGTTTCACTCCATAGCCCAGGTTAGCCTTGAAATCCCAACCCTTCCACCTTAACCTAAGTTCTAGTCTTATAGGCATTAGCTATTGGCTATATTTATTAAAATTTCACCTGCCCCCTCTACCATATGATATGGTATGATACCTCTACCATACACCCAATTTGCATATATGTGTTTCCTTTAACTTTGGGTTTTTGTCCTTTTTATGAAACAAAGGGAAAACTGTTTATCATCTATATCATTTCAATAGGTTCAGAAAATAAATTTATCAAAAATCTACCATCTTTCCATTGATTAAGACCAGAAAAATAGCCTGGTGGTAGTGATGCAGGCCTTTAGTTGCAGTACTCTGGAGGCAGAGGCAGGTGGATCTCTGAGTTCCAGGCTGGCCTGGTCTACAGAGAGATCCCAGCACAGTCAGGACTACACAAAGAAACCCTGTTTTGAAAAACCAAAACAAACAAAAAACCCAGGAAAAATACAAAAGAAGGGAATTTCCTTAACCTGAAAAAACACCACCACCAACAAATCCAAAAGTAATTTTACAATTAATGGTCACAGACTGCAAGGCTGTGGTAGCTCACACCTGAAACCCCAACACTGGGGAGACTGAGGCAGGAAGACTGTCAGGATTTGAAGCCACCTGGACTACATAGGCTGTCAGCCAGCCTGGCTACACCTATAGTATGGGGTTCTGTCTCTAAAAACAAAACCCCAAATAGTTTAAAAAAAAAAAAAAAAAACCCAGAAACGAAAAGCTCAAGCTACAAGCTTTCTTCTTAAAAGACAAAATGAGGCCTCTATCTTTCGGCTAAGATCAGGTTTAGGAGCCTGGGGAGAACACCTTCCACTGTTCAGCACTGTACTGGAGATGTCAGCTGGAAAATAAAGCTAATGGAAAGAAGCACAAAGCACTCCCATACTATAGAGTCACAACTATCTGAAGTTGACATCATACAAATAAAACACCCTACAGAACCATTTACAGGGCCGTTCAGCAAAATGAGATCAAGACAGAAACAATTGGGTATCTGTAGACTAGCAACTAATCCAAGAGTGATGAATAGGACAAGGTACAGTCACTTAAGAAACACTTCCCAGGCTAGAGAGATGGCTCAGTGGTTAAGAGCACTGGCTGCTCTTTCAGAGGAGCAAGGTTAGCACTGAAAATCATTGAAGAATTAAAGAATCTCACCCATTCTTGAACAGGTATAGGGCAAATAATGGAGTCATTTTCATCAATGGTGAAGCCACTATTAAGTCGTCTATGTTCCAGTAAATCTCCTACCCATGCTCATTAATTAAACTCTGTGGGCCTCTCTGTATCACACAGACACACAAACACACACACGAGGTTAGTGTGTAAAGGTACTTGCCATGTATGCATGATGACCCAAGTTCAATTCCAGAACCCACATAAAGGTGGAAGGAGAAGCTATGATGGGAGATGTCATTCTGTAAATATGTTTCTCATACTGGTTAATGAATAAAGCACTGTTGGCCAATAGGAAAGCAAGATGGGTGGGACTAGGAGGCAAAGAGGAAGTAGGGAGGAGGGGCCAAGATGGAGAGTCTGGAGAAGGTAGAACCGCCAGCAGCCTCTCCCTGGCAAGACCACGTGGAAATACATAGAAATGGGCTAATAATTAAGACAGAGCTAGCGGATAAGAAACAAGTAACAAAGCCAACAGCATTGTGTATTATTTGGGTCTCTGTGTATTATTTGGGGCGGCGGGACAAGACCAGGCGGCGGGAGGAAAAACCCTACTCCTTACAAAGCTAGATATGGTTTGGTGGCACATGTTTTTAATCCCTTCAGGAGGTAGAGTTTAAGGCTGTCTTGGTTCACAAAGCTACACAAAGAGACCTTGTCTACACACACACACACACACACACACACAGAGACTGAAGAGCTGATTCCACAAAGTTGTCCTCTGACTTCCACACGTGCATAGGCACTCATACTAGTGTATTGAATACAAACACAATAATAATAATTTTAAAAATGTAAAGACATCAGGAAGAAGGGGTTCAATGGGAGTGGCATGAGAGAGTAATGAGGTGTGAAAAGTATGCACATGTATGAAATTGTCAAAAGGTAATTGTAAAAAAGAAACTACACAAAGGAATGTCATCCATGACTGGAATCCAAATCAGACCAAATCAAATAAAAATACCCACGTTTAATGGATACAACACACTCCTGGAAGGCCTTACAGTCCCCCTCCCCCCAGGAGATGAAAAATATAGACCAGAAAACTACATGTCTTATTTTCTGGGGGACAGTTTAAATCCCTGTGGGAGTCATCTTGAGCATCTCTGAGGGAGAAGTCATCATTTGGCTGGCTTTCTGAGAGGCAGCAGGGTTTGGAGAGAGATAGGGAGAGAGCTTGGGTGGAACTTCCACCATAACATCCCTGACTCTTTGGGTCTATGGATGCTAGGGACTGGGGTGAAGCTTCCACCATAACAATGTTAATGGATTAAAGAGGGCACTACTCCTACTGATCTACAGATTCAATGTTTCTGAACTTACTACACAATTGCAGAATCATGACAGAGTGGTGCCGGCCTAAGTTAACCTAAGTTAAGACATATCAAATAACCAATGGGATAAGAATCCACTAAATAAACCCGCTGATTCTGCCTTTGATTTTATTATCTTCCTTTTTTTTTCTTTTTTGGAGACAAGGTGTTATGCGGTCCAGACTGGCCTCCAACTATCAGAAGATGGCTTTGAATATCTTACCCTTCTGCCTCCCCCTTTCCAGTGCTGGGATTATCCACACTAGACCCCTCTTAATTTTCTTCTTCTTTTTTTTTTTTTTTTAAACTATTTCAGGTGCTGGGGACCAAATCCAAAGCCTCAGTGCTAGACAAGAGCTCTACCATCGAGCCACACCCCATTCTAAGTAGAACAAAGTACACACCCTGCCTCCCCCTGGAAAACCTCCATTCTTCCACTCTCTAACTCTGAACTTTCTGTTTTGCGACAGTCTTGCTGTCACACAGACTGGCCATCCTCTCAGGCTCGTAAGCGCTGGGACTACAGGCGCGCGCCACTCTGCCCAGTGTGGGGCTCTGACAACTACAAATACCTCACATAAGTCGGCTTCCCTCTAGTTCAGGAGCAGTAGTGGTTCCGGTGAGGGCGGAGAAGGGTCAAACGACCATGGCCCAAACTTAACGTCCACCTAGCAGGATAGCTCCGCCCAACGGAGAGGTGGGGTGGCCAACTGAGCATGCGTACGCGTTCGCGCCTATCACGGAGCCACCCAAAGGCCCGCCCTCACTGCCATCTTGATTTCGTGGGTGACGGAATGCTGCGCATGCTCGCTAAAGCGCCAAGTGTTGGGTCCCCCGCCGGGCTCCGGCCGCCATCTTGGATCAGGGCGTCTCGGACGACGGGGCCCTGCGTGCCGGGATATGGCCGCCATCTTGGATCAGGGCATGGTAGGACGTCGGGTCCCGCGGGCCTTGTCCAGCCTTCACCGCATGCTTACTTGCTGTTGTCACTGATGTTCACTTGGACGTGTAGAGAACCGGAATTTGGCGTGACTGGCGGAAGAGACATGCCAAGTGAGGCGCAGTTTGAGACTACATCGGTGCCAGAAAGCAAAATGGAGGTTGTAGCGCCAGGTGCCTGCGGGCCTCATGCGTGGGCGGAAATGCGTAATAGGAGGAGGATGGTTTAGGGAGCAATTCAGCTGGGGTTTGTGTCCAGTGCTTATTTTTATCTCGCACTCTGCTTTCTCAAGTGTATACATGGTTTCTTCACAATTTTTTCCTAATGTACTTATTACACACTAGACTTTCCTGGTGATGGTGCTCTGTATCCCTTTATGCCCTAAACGGACACTCTGAAGTTGCTTTTGCTAAAGAGCATTGACTTATCTCTTGGGGCCACAGGGTGACTTAAGGACGAAATTTGGCGTTACTGTCTTCATTTTGTGTGTGCTGGAAACAGTAATCTTGGTGTCCCACAAAGTAACAAATAAACGAAACAAAGGAGCTCTGCAAGGCGCTTTCGGTTTGTAAAAATTGTGTTTACCAGGGCAGGAGGTTCCCTTGGTTTTTATTTTAACAGGTGGGGACTACGTCTTTTCCTCATTGACTGGGGTCCGACCTTTGTGATTGGTTAGTTCTGAAAGACTAAGCAGAGGAAAGAAATAAAGGGTCTGTGCTCTAGGCAGCAGCGAATTCTGGAGGGAGAAAGGCTGTGTGTAGTTCATGTAAAAAAATTTTTTTTTCCACTAGGTGGAGATTTATGGACTGTGTATCTTTGTTAGAACAACAGCAGTTAACGGCCAAAAGTTGAAGTCACTGTTCATCTTGGTTTTTTGAGACAGTCTCCCTGTGTAGCTCTGACTGGCTTTAAGCTTATCAAACTTAGCTTGGCAATCTTACAGTTTTACAATAAGTATGCTTGAGATGCTCAGAAATAAATGGTTTATATGCATTAAAAACACATTATTGAGCTGGGCAGTGGTGGCACATGCCTTTGGTCCCGGCACTTGGGAGTAGAGGCAGGCAGATCTGTGTGAGATCAAGGCTAAACTGGTCTACATGGTAAGTTCCAGTACATTCAGGGCTACACAAAGAAACCCTGTCTTGAAAAACTACAACAAAAACATTGTTGAGTAAAATAAAAAGTGAATTAAAAACACAAGCCTATTAAAATCAGTTTTGGAAATAAAAAAATATAGCCATACAAATGTAAAAATCAAGATTAAATTAAAAAAAGATTAAACTCCAGTTTAAGCAAAGACAAAAATTAAGGAAAACAGTACCGTTTTACTTAACTATTCCTATGCTTGCCTGCCTCGACTTTTATTTAACCGTATCGAAAAGCAAAACAAATCCTCCAAAACAGAAAAACTATTTGAAAAGAAGATGGCTAGGAACTTTTGAGAATTGGAGGTCAAGGATCTTCTGATTAAAGTTGTTATCTGAACAACAAGTAAAATAAACAATGAGCCCAGAGAAATAAAACTGCAGAACATTAAGGATAAAAACAGAACAAAATCTCAAATGCTAAGAGACTGTCTTCAAATGAACAGTAGTTGGACCTACATACAGTAGTCATATTTTCAGGAACAAAATAGTCCAGAAGATTGGACTGGTGTCATCATTCAGTAAGAAGTTCCCTTCAATCTAGAATTTCTAACCTAGCTACTCTTGCAGAACATCAAGGATTCAATTTAAGACTGAGGATATGGCCTATTTGGTAGTATTTGCCTAGCTTGAATGAAGGCTCCCTGGCTCCCTCCCCATTACCACATAAACCCAGGTATGCTGGCATACTCTTGTAATTCTATACTTAGGAGGTAGGGGCAGGAGGATCAGAAGTTAAAGGTTTTATCCTTGACTACATTGTGAGTCAGAGGCAAGCCTAGGCTTTATGAGAACCTATCCCCCAAAACAAAACCTTGTGCAGGCTGAGGCTACTAATCTGGACTATAAATAACCAGCCACTGTTTATAAGCTCTTTTAATTAACTTTATTGAATAGCCAGATTCATAAGTTAGCACAGATCAAAGGATTGTTTGCATGGGTTACAAATGACTTTTTTAAAAAACAGGAATAAAACAGTGAAAATTACAATCTGTAAAAAGGAAGACATTTTGTTTCTTAACATTTCAGAGAAACAAGACTGAACACAACACATTGAAGATCAATACTTATTTTTGATTCAAGAACAAGGACTTAATGTTACAATATTATACACTACTTTACAAAATTAAAATTTCTATGTAAGGATTGTGTTTCTAATAGTTAAAACTGTGAAATCACATTTGCTGGTCCCCTAGATAACAGCTGTTATGCATCTCTGATTATAAGTTTAAATCTTTAATTATTGCAAAACAGTCTATTAGACTCAATACATTACATTAAATTAAAATATATGCAAGCTAAAATAAATGGTACTGCTTGAATGAATATTAGTATGTCAGACTTAGAGAAACATTATTTTAAAAATTCTAGAAATTAGAAAAATAGAGTACTTTTTATGGTAGAACTGCCATGCTCAGATTTATATATCAAGATTGCCCTTGTCTGTCTCTTTAGTAGTTGTAGATCTGTAGAAAATTCAAAGATCTTTCATAATTTACAACTACAATAAAAAAAATATGGCGTAGTGTCAATATTAGTTGCTTTACATCAGAAAGTAATATAGGGTGATAGGATGGGTAGTGTCTTATTGCCAAAACAAAGAACAACAACAAAAAACCCCACAAACTAAAAAACACATTCAGTATTGCAAAAAAATAATTATATCAATATTCCACAAAGGCTCATTCTCTTATCTGAAGAATGAAAATCATGAACCCTAAATAGTTATGCTTTTATGCCTGTTATAAAATTACTCTGGATTGCACATTACATAATATATAAAATAAAATTTAAAAGTGAAATACATTAACCAAGTGGGTGCTAACTAATAAGGGTCAGACTCACTCAGGGAAGGTCTGAGGCACAAGGAAGGTTTCCCTAGGAGTGCAACATTTCCCTCTGAAGATTCCTTATTATGAAGAAAGAACCTACAAATACCAACATTTCAAATCATACTAAGAAGAAAGCTTTCTTTCATTTAAAGGAACATCTCTACATAATGGCTGTTTTTTTTTTTTTTTAAGAGAGGGCAAATTATATAAACTGAATTGGTTATAGTTGAAAAGTGCTTCTCAATAAATGAAACACCTTTCAAGAGAAATTGGGTTCAGTGTAGTATGTGTACATTTCAAACAAACTAATTTTTCAAATGTCTTTTTTGAGACAAAGTCTGGCTGGCCTGGCACTTGTTATGTAGCCTAAGTTAGCGATTCTCCAGTCTTGGCCTCTCAAGTACCAGGTTAGGGGCATGTACCATCAGGTCTGGCTTGGGACTAAAAGAGAAAAACCTTAACACTGTTAATCTCATGAAGCACGGTTATTCTGCAGCAGCTGTTTTGCAAACAGCACTTGTATACTCCAGGGACCTGCTGCTTCCCTTCCCAGGAGTTAAAGTCAGCCCATGTGGGTGTAAACCTGAAAGTTACTGTTTCACTGGTGATCATGTGAGACCAAGATTGTAAACACATTTCTAACCTATGAAAACAAAAAAAAATCTCTTCATTATTACACACAAACGTCAATGAAGAAGTTCATATAAGACAAGATGAACCTGTGAAAACTGATCCAAACTCTTTTAAAAATACATCACAGCACTTTAAATACATATGGATAATTTACCTATTTGTAAACAAAAGCCATCTGATAGTTTGACTGTAATAGTCTTCTAACTGAATCAAAACAAGCAGTTTTTAGAGCATGTTCAGGAATCAAGTTTCTCTTATAACTTTAACAGGATGGATTTGTACAATCTTAATATACACCACCTTGAACAGCAGCATTCATACTTTAGCAGGTTTTAACATCCCAGAATAAGTGAGTGGCTTCTAATTTAATTATTAAACTCCTTAAAGAAATGGTGTTGTATTCTGAGATAGCATTACAGAACCTTTAACTTTTTCAAGTCTCATTTTACCAAAATATCACTTTAACTTTTTACCAGTCACAGCAGAAATGTACCAAACAAAAACGTACTCAGAGACTCAAAAATAACCCAAATTTCCAAGCTCCTATTATCATTGCCGTCCTGATATATTTACGAAGACAGCTCTAGTCTATTCATGGCAGAATAAAACAGAAAACCACCTAGTTACAGTTTTCACCTCAAATTAAAGTGACTTTGTTCAAGTAGAGAGAATACTGACAGACTTTAAAGCTTGACAATTACTTTATATTCTTCCCAAGCAAGGCCAGAGCTAGTTTACTCCAGTTTTTGTTAACATGATCCTTTTCCTTCCTTAAGAAAGAAGGGTAGGGCAAAAAGAAAAAAAAAAAAAAAAAAAAAGCAAAGAGACTGGAATCTAGCTTTTCTACAGTCTATTGACTTTTAAATTTTCTAATTTAAAAAGATCATTACTGATACATTTGAAACTTCCCTGCAACACTTGGTTTTGTGAGGTTTTTAAATGTAGCAGCCAAAAACTTAGGGGGAAAAAAAAAAAAAAAAAAGAGAGAACTAGAAATGCAGAACACAGAAGTCTTTATTTTATAAAATGTACTTTGCCTCTGTGATATTGTCTCATCTCAATCTGTAACAACTCAAACATAGTTGGCAGCAAAGGGGAGGGGAGGTTTCCAATTGTGTAGACTTCTATTTTGATTTGAAAAATACAGTATTTTGGAGTTCACACCTGACTCACGATGTGGTCCTTTATTTGCTATAGTTGTTGAAATCACAGTGAAACATCTTAATCATCACATTTGTTCACAATCTGAAGGAGGAAAGGAAGGTACTGCATTCTCAGGAACTCTGTGAGTGACTCCTCAGCAGTACCAGCTCTGTTCACTTGTTCACTTGCTGCTGTACATGCAGGAGGAATTCATAATATGATAGTGCTGATTCCGTTCTGTCTTCTACTAAGTTCTGAAGGAAGGCTGCTTTCATTGGACTCTCCTCCCTTAGAAATAAAAGGCAAGAATGTTCATGTACGTTAGATACAGAAGAATAAACTATGATTATAATGAAAATAAATTTGACCACCATGTAAATAGCTCCACCTAGGGGCTGGAGAGAAGGTTCAATGGTTTAGAGCACTTGCTGCTCTTCAAAGGAACTATGCTGATTTGGCTTCTACATGGTGGATCACAACTGCCTCTAAGTCCAGTTCTAGAGGATCCAATGCCCTCTGTCTGACTTCCAATGGTAGGCAAAATACATGTGGAATACTATTTTAACTTGGCAAAGATGTGTTACATTTGTTTATGCAGCATTTGTTTAACACTATAAGGATGTGTGTTTAATTATGTAAAGATGTGTTGCACCTGTTTCATCTTGTCTGTCTAAGGTGCCTGGTTGGTCTAATGAAAAGCTGAACAGCTAATAGCTAGGCAGGAGAGGGATGATGGAGGGATGGAGGAATGGAGGGATGATGGATGGACAGACAGACAAGCAAGGAAGTAAGAAAAGGTAAAAAAGGTAGATAAAGAGAAAAAGGTTATTTTTTCTTTCTCTCTTTCTTCCTTTCTTTTCTTTTTTTTTTTTTTTTCTTTTTTCTTTCTTTTTTGGTTTGTTTTTTGAGACAGGGTTTCTCTGTATTGATTTGGAGCCTGTCCTGGAAGTAGCTCTGTAGACCAGGCTGGCCTTGAACTCACAAAGATCCATCTGTCTCTGCCTCCCAAGTGCTGGGATTAAAGGCATGTGCCACTAACGCCCTTTAAGAAAAAGGTTAATTTAAGTTAAAAGGCTAGTCAGAAACAAGCTTAAGCTAGGCTGAACATTCAAAACTAGTAAGTTTCCATGTCATGATTTGGGTGTCAGGCAAAAGATAAAGTCTGATACACACCTACACACATAAATAATTGAATTTCAAAACAGAAGCTATGTCTAGAGTTTTCTCTGAGAACACTTGGCTGATATGTAAACAAATTAATTAGGAAAATTTTAATTCAGAACTAGGGGAAACTACTGATATTTTTGTTAGCAAGTTTATTGAAAGATTAGTAATTCTTTTTCTTGGTTTTTCAAGACAGTTTCTCTGTGTAGCCCTAGCTATCCTGGAACTTGCTTTTTAGATTAGGCTAAGCTCAAACTCATATAGATATCCACTTGTGTCTATCTCCTGAGTGCTGAGGTTAAAGGTGTATGCCACCACTATCCAGCTACCCAGCAATATTCTTTTGTATTTTTGAGACAGGGACTCAAAATCAAAAGAGAAAAAGTTGGGCAGTGACAAAAGAAAAAAACTACATTTAAAAAGAAAAAAAAAAAAAAAAAAAAAAAAGCAAGGCATTGGTGGTGCATGTGTTTAATCCCAGCAGAGGCAGGTAGATCTCTGTGAGTTTGAGGCCAGCCTGGTCTACTTCAAGGACAGGGAGAGAGAAGGAGAGGGAGGGAGAGAGAGAGAGTCTCTCATGTCGTCCAGGCTGGCTTTGTACTCATTCTGGCTGAGGATGAACCTAAAGTGATGCTCCTGCTTCCGCCTTTGGAGTGCTGGGATCACAAGCATATATCATCATGCACTGTTTTATATTGTGCTGGGGATGGAACCCAGAGTATGCTACATAAGATTCCACCAGCTAATCTACATCCCCTGACATTCCTATGTTCTTTTAAAAGGTTTAATTGCAAATTAGGTCATGCTCATACTAAACATATCATTGTAAGGCCAGACACTGACAACATTAAAAATCTGACTTACCTGATTATATAGAGTATTGGGAAAAATGGCCTCTGTTCTCTAAGCCACGAGATGAAAGCTATTGTTCTGGAAGATTCTGGTGTGTCAAGTTCTGGAAGGTTTGTCTGTTAAACAAAACTCCAATTACTGTGTAGTCTGAAGCACTCTTCAGATTTTAACATTTAACAATCAGCTGATGATTTTGTTGAACCACTGAGTGAATAGATGTGTTGTGTTGCAATGAAATCTTAATTAAAAAACAGGTGGCAGGTTCTTGGGCATAGTTTGTATGATTTTGATCTAGGAAAACCTCCCAGCTCTTTACTCCATAATGAAATTTCAAATCAACCAATTCATCAAGGTGGTTATTTCTAATAGAACAGTTTTCTTATTTCATTACTTAACATGCCTATTCATCTATCCAGTCCAGTAGTGTTGCTCAAGATCTGAAAACTAATATACTAACTATAATCTTAATATCTAAGTCTTTCTAAATATATGAATCCTGAGGATTTAGAGATATCTCAGTGGGTAAAGGCACTTGCTACCAAGCCTGATGACCTGCATTTGATCTTTGGGACCCACTTGGTAAACAGAACCCCAAAATTGTCCCTGAATACAAAAAAGTGAATACACTTTTTTATTGTTGTTGAACATTTATATAAGCACCAGATATCATTACTGATGGTTGTGAGCCATCATGTGGTTGCTGGAAATTGAACTCAGGACTTCTAGAAGACTAGCTAGTGTTTTTAACCACTGAGCCATCTGTTCAGTCCCCTGGAGAGTGACTCCACACTTGATCCTTGATATTCATATCCCCAACTCCAATAAAGAAACAAATAAAATAAAAATTGAAAAATAAATGCATGAGGGGCTGGAGAGATGGCTCAGTGGTTAAGAGCACTGGATGCTCTTTCAGAGGACCCGGGTTCAATTCCCAGCACCCACATGGCCACTCATAACTACCCGTAACTCTAGTTCCAGGGGATCTGAAACCTTCACACAAACATATGTGCAGGCAAAACACCAATTCATGTGAAATAAAAATAAATAAATCACTTAAAATAATTAAATAAATGCAGCACAGAACCCACCAGTATGGAACCTGTTGGTTGTAAGTGATTAAACGCACATTTACTCCAAGGTCTGATACCCACTTAGCAGTAGGTACTGAAAAAATAAGACAACTTTAACTTCATAGTTTAAAATAATGCAAATATTATAGAACTTTGTAAGTATTGTTATTATATAAAATAGTGTGGCCATATAGTTTTCGAGACAGTACAATTTTTTTTTTCTTGACAGGGTTTCTTGCAACCTCAAAAACTTTAGAGACCTTGCCTTTGCTGAGATTAAAGCTGGACCACATCTAGTATCAACACAGCAATTTTTAAAGAACCTTGTCAAAGATCAAGCAATCACTTGCCCAAAACACAAAGACAAAAAGCTAGCAAGTAAGCTCATTGGTAGATTTGATGCTTGCCAAGTGTGTGCAAAGCTCTGGATTCAATTACCCTTGCTAAAAGAGAGGGATTGGTAGAGGAAAAGAGACAGAGACAGACAGACACTAATGTCATGTGTAGCAACAAAGCTTTTTTTGCTTGTTTTTTTTTTTGTTTTTTTGAGACAGGGTTTTTCTGTAGCTTTGGAGGCTATTCTGGAGCTCAATCAGTAGATCAGGCTGGCCTCTGCCTCCCGAGTGCTAGGATTAAAGGCATGAGCCACCACTGCCCAGCTTTTTAAAAATTTTAATTCTTAAAAGCACAAGGTGCACAGACAAACATGCAGGCATACTCATATTAAAATTTTTAGTATTATGTGTATATGTGCATGATGTATACACATATGAACAATGCTACATACAGTAGACATGTAGAGTCAGGACAACTCTGTGGAGCTCTGGGGACCAAACTCAGATCAGGTCACAGCATCTCACTGTGGCTGCCTTAGAGCACAGAGATCCTCCTGACCTAGTGTACCATGCCCAGCTAAGAATTACTGTTTTAAACACTTAAGAAATGTCAGACAGCTGATGATGGTGCATGTTTGTAATTTCTGCACTTTGGAGGAGGCTGGGGTAAGAGAAATGTTGTAAGATGGTGACTAGCCTGGTCTACATTGTGAGTTTCAGGTGAGCTAGAGCTGAGTAGTAAGACCCTAGCTGAAAAGAATCCCCCCTCCCACCAGCACAAGAAAAAGCAACAACAAATGTCATTCCCAGCTCAGCACAGTAGTGCATACATATAATCCTAGCAATCGGGCAGAGGGCAGGGGGATTGCCATTGATTTGAGTCAACATGGATTACTGAGTAAGATCCACCTTGAGTTTGGTGGAATTTTTTGTTTTGTTTTTGTTTTGAGATGGTCTCATTACATAGCCCCAGCTGTTCTGGGGCTTCTTATGCAGACCAGGTTGGCCTGGACTTTACAAAGCCTCTATTTCCTGAATGCAGGGATTAAAGGTGTGTACTATCACACCTAGCCACAAGACTCATCCCCAAAAGAAAATCAATGAAATGAAGTGCACACATGAACACACATAACTGTGCTATTCAATTCTCAGGAGGAGAGGTAGGAGAACTTGTATGCCAGGTTAGCTTGGGCTACACAGCAAGTCTTGTCAAAAAACTGAGAGAAGCAGTTAGACATGGCTCAGCTCAAGAGCATGTAAGCTCTTGCAGAGGACCTGGGTTCAAGTCCCATCACCCAAATGGTGCTCACAACCAACTCTAAGTGCAGTTTCGGGGGATCCAATACCCTGTTCTAACCTCCACAGGCACCAGGCATGCATATGGTACACACATTCATACACATAAAATAAAAATGCCTCTAAGGCTAACCAAAATATCATTATCAGACGAGATAGGCAATACAAAGAAACCCTGTCTTGAAAAACCAAAATAAAAAAGCAAGTGGTTCTCTGTGAGTTTGAGGCCCACTTGGTCTACATAGTGAGTTGTAGGCCAGTCAGGGCTACAAAGTGAGACCCTGTCTGAAAAAACCAAAAAAACTCAAACTCAACAAAATGAAAAAGGCAAGATGAGCCTGGCATAGCAGTATGTGGTTATAGTCCTATCTACTAGGGAAGCTGAGGCAAAAGGGTCCCTTTAAGTCATTGGAACACAGATAAACCTGAGCACCACAGCAAGATCCTGCCTAGAAACAAACCCAAACCAAACCAGAAAATGAACACTTATAGTTGGAAGAGAGAAAGATACTCTCTGTGAGGACATTTACTCTTCAGGAGAAATTTGGAGTATTAATTTCTGATTTGGAAATTGCATTCATGTTTTTGTCTTATTTAAAATATCCTTTAAATCCCATGTGATTATTAACATAAAAAGCTTACCATCATCTGTGGAATTGATGCATAGTTTTGAACTCCCAGAACTTGGCTGAGAAAATTCTGTGCACAATTTTTTCCAACCCAAAGCATCAGTACCTGCAAAGAGGAACACACTGTTCTGAGAGGCAGCCCAACAGTGAGTCTGACACTTTTGTCACCGGTTATGTTTTAAAAATCAAAAGGATAAGCATGCTTAGTGAGACTGTACAGAGAACTACTGCACACCATGAAACAGGAGGCTGCAGGGAGACGGCCAACGCTAACGTACAGATTAAAGAAAGGTAGCTGAAGCCACACCTAAGGAGGCACAGCAGCACACTGAGGTCATCAGGCTGTGTAAATCCACTCACCGAGCCTGCATCCATGAGGAAAGCTCCGTCCCTGCTCAACTTCTCCACTGAGAGCTGAAGAATGGGGGGCTGAGGTATGGTTCTGTCATTGATGTTGAGAGCTCCCTGAAGAATGAAGCAAAGAGTGAGGTTTTTAGACACAGGTGACACACACAGTATACATATATTTGCACACATACATGTATATGGCACATGTTCATATGTGTGTACCTGTGCATTAGCTGTGTCTTTTACTTTTTCAAGGCAGTCTTTTGCTTAACCTGGAGCTCACCAATTCCAGACAGTCTAGCTAGCTAGCTTGTTCCAGAGAGTTGCTGCCTATTTTCAGAGTAATGCAATTACAAGTGGCTGTCATGCCTGCTTGTTGCCTTTTGTCTGCCCTACTTTTTTTTTTTTTAATTTCTCTGTGTAGCTTTGGAGCCTGTCCTGGAACTCACTCTGTAGACTAGGCTGGCCTTGAACTCACAGAGATCTGTCTGCCTCTGCCTCCCGAATGCTGTGCCATCAATGCCTGGCTGTTTGCCCTACATTTTATGTAAGTTCTGAACTCTGATCCTCATGCTTCCACAATGAGTACTTTATCCTTTGAGCCAAACCCCCAGCCTCAGTGCTTTTTTGGAGAAAGGGTCTGATATAGCCCAGGCTAGCCTCAAACTTCTTATTTGCTGAAGATGATTTTGAACTCCTGATCATTCTGTCCAATCCTCTTAAATTTTGAAATTACTGGTATGTGGTATCATGCCTAGCTCTATACAACTACAGCTAAATGAATTCGACCTAAGAGCTTAGAACTTAGGCAAATCAATTATCCATAGTAAAGATATGTACACACACACACACACACACACACACACACACACACACACACACACACACACACACACCAAAGCCACTGTGACTCTAGTAATTGAAATCAGATTCTGACCATATTTATTTCTTGCGTGTGTAGCTAGAAGTAAATGGCAGATGTCTTTTCTGTTATTCTCCATCTTATTGTTTGAGACAGCTCTCAATCAACCCAGAGATTGTTGACTCAGTTATCTTGGCTGGCCAGCACGTTCCAGGGATCCTCCTGCCTCTGGTTCCCAGTCCTGGGTAACTAACACAAGTCCTCATGCTTGTGCAAGCACTTTACCAACAAATCATCTTTCCAGCCCATTCTCATCTTCTGTTGTTGTTTTTATAGTTAATTTTCATTTTATGTTTATTGGTGCTTTGCCTGCATGTGTGTGTGAGGATGTCAGAAGCTCTGGCACTGGAGTTACACACAGTTGTGACTGTCATGTGGAAGCTGGGAATTGAACCTGGATCTTCTGGAAGGGTAGCCAGTGCTCTTAAGTTGTTGAGCCATCTTTCCAGCTCCCCCTCCCCCCCCCTTTTTTTTTGACCAGATCTTTAGGTACAAGATAGCTGGTAGCTCCCTATGTAGCTAAAGATAACCTTGAACTTTTTTTTCTGATCCTCCTGCCTCTACATCCCAAGTGCTGGGACTGCAGGTATGAGCCATCACTCTGGGTTTATGCAGGGCTAAAGAGGGAACCCAGGCTTCTCGAATGCTAGCCAAGCATTCTACCAACCTAGTACATTCTCAGCTCAAATTGTCTGGTTTTGAGAGGTCTCCTGTTAGCCAGGTAGGCCTGGAACTCCCTTTATAGCTGGCCTTCAATCCTAATATACCTTGCAAGTGCTAGGATTACAGACATGAGCTGCCAAGCTTGGCTTTTTAACTACTATTATAAAAAAATTAATTCAATGACTACAACATATAGTGAACAGATAAGTGATATTAATGAAATATAAACCAAATCTAGAATTTAGTTACCAGTAATATACTAATTTTCTCTTCTTTCTTTCTTTTTGAGATAAGGTCTCCCTATGAAGCCTTGACTGTCCTAGATCTTGGCATGTAGACCAGACTGGCTTTGAACTCAGAGATCTGCCTGCTTCTGCCTCTGAGTGTTGGGATTACATGTGTGTACTACTAGTCCCAGCAATTTTGTTTTCTTGAATTTTAGAAATGTAAGACAGTTTTGCATTTAATTTTAAAGCGTTTCAATTTTGTTTTCTGAGTCCAGGCACTTTCAAACTTATGTGCTCCAGTGATCCTCTTGCTTTAGCCTTCCAAAGTCACTGGAACGATAGGCATAAACCAATTAGCTACAACTCAGCTAACTAGAAAATGAAACATCAGAGTAGACTGGCTAGGGCATGTAAGGGTCTTCTGTGCTGACTATCTATGTCAACTTGGCACAGCCTAGACATTTGAAAAGAAGGAACCTTAACTGAGAAAATGCATCCACCAGATTGGCTTGTGGGACATTTCTCTCAATTAGTGAGTGATGTGAAAGTAGCCCGATTGTGGGTGGTGGTCTTGGGGTGTGTAAGAAAGCAGGCTGAGCAAACCAGTAGGTGCAAGTCAGTAAGCAGCATCCCTCCTTGGCTTTCCTATCAGTTCCTGCCCTAACTTCTCTGCATGATGAACTACCAACTAACTATAAACTGAAATAAACCCTTTCCTTGCTAAGTTGCCTTTGGTCATTGTGTTTTAGCACAGCAATAGAAACTGAGACACCTCCTATAGTATATGTTTAAATTATCTATAAATCTCAAATTAGAGACTTTGTCTTAGAAAACTTAAAAGTCATCATTTTCAGGAACTTCCCTAAAAATCAAAGTTTCTGTGTATTTACCTAGAAAAAAGCAAATAATTAAGCAAATAATTAAGCAACAAACTCTTATTTCTGAACTGAATATAATTAAGCAAAACAATCTTCAGAAAAAGCCACAGAACAGGGAGTAGCCCTTACCTCATCTGAGAGGTTGTCAACTCTATACAAACTGGGATGTGTTGTGAGCATAAGGTGAACCAACGGCTGGTTCTTCACTTGACACATGGCAAAAATTCGTTCATCTAGACGTGCATTTGTCCCAGTCTGGAAAGACTTCTGTAACAAAAGAAAAACCAAGCCCCCCAATATTAAAAAAAAAAAAAAAAAAAAAAAAAAGACAGATTTTTTGTAAATGTCACTTGCTAAAAGATCTTCAGGTAGAACTGGCAAATTTATCATAAACTGTCCCTTGAAAATATCTTTTAAGAAGTCCTGTAGTAAATTATACTGCAGCCTCACCTGGAAGTCTCAAGTAATCAAACACTGGACCACAGTGAAGCTATCTGATCTCCCTGGGGTCTGCTTCCTCATCGCTAAGCTAAGCCCAGCACTGTCTGCACAGTGATGGTGAAGGAGCTGAGCAGTATGGGACACTGGAGATAGGATAAAGGTACATGTGACATGCAGAAAGACTCACCAAGTGTGCTATGCCTACTGCATGGCAATCAATAGTGGCTAAATCTAAAATTGCTTCTTCCACAACTAGAGAAATTAAACAATATACCATATCTTACAAACCTATACAGGAAGACACGAGTGGAAACAACAGCACAGTGGCTGAGTTTGTGACAGACTTACTGCTACAGAAGCTTCATGAGACCAGTGAGGGTCTCAGGTGAGGTTTTAAAGGGTTCCAATTTGTGGAAAGGAGTAAAAGAGGCAGGGAACAACAAAACAAATATGAGCAGAAAGCTTCTCAAGGCAGGCTCAGGTGAACACTTCATTGCACCTAACTTAGACGGTCACATTCACTGTCCCAAAGACCTGGATAACTGTACTTGTGAGGCTGCCCATTAATCAGCATGTGCTGAAAGCTGATGACCTAGGTAACTGCAATAGTGGCTTTGGCACAGCATGAGAAAGATGTCAGTGAATTACTTCACCTGTAAATATAAACAGGGCTTGAGAGAAATTTCAGTGGTTAAGAACACTGGCTAGCCTTGCAGAAGACCCAGATTCAGTTCCCAGCATACACTTGGTTGTCTTCTTCTGACCTCCACAGGCACCAGGTACACATGCAAGCAAAACACCCAGGCATATAAAATAAAAATAAAATGAAGTGTAAAATAAATAACCACTGCATATATAGTTACAGGTGAAATAATACATTAAAATCTTTTTCATTTATTGTCTATTATATACTAGGTGCTGAGACTTGAATAGTGAATAAAAAAGACAAAAATCTTTGTGTTCATAGTTTACTGCCTATAAAATGAGAGATACAATCAAGTATAACAATGCACTTGGGATGCAGAGGCAGGTGGATCTCTGTGAATTCAAGGCCAGCCTGGTCTACAAAGTGGGTGTTAGGGCATTGAGGGCTACATAATGATATCCTGTCTCAACAACAAAAAAAAAGAAAAATAATAAATAAGCAAACTATGTGTTCAGTGACAGTTGGCACAGAAAAAAATATAGGTGGGATGAGGAATGAAGGGTATCCCAGTGCTATGTGATGGGAAGGTCCTCTGGAAACCCAACTAGTGTTCTTAACCACTGAGCCATCTCTCCAGCCCCCATGTGCTCATTTTCAAGCTTCCGGTATAAGTGAGAATATGCAATGCATGTGTGGCTTATTATACCAACAACACAATTTCTAGCTCTTTCTTTGGAAAGCTAATTATCATTTAAATTTGTGGTCACATCACTGAATCCTTGATGAGTGAGTTATCACTTACATGTGGTACTGGCATTAAATTATCTATACATTTCTTTGGCTGTAAATCCCTTCAATTCTTCAATAAAAGATAGTATTCACATCCTCAGAAAATTTAACTGGTTTAAAGCTATATTTAGGAATTCACAGAATAAAAATCTTTTTAATATTCTTACTATGCTAATCTGTGTTTTCTTACCTGTTTGAGAAGAGCCAACACAAAGAGTGGGAAAAGCCTCAAAGAGAAAGGAACCATAAGGCCTGGCTGCTGGCTACTCAGGACTGAAGATCGGTATGCTGAGAGAGAGTCGATAACAGCATTCACCAAAGCATCCCGGGCATCGCTCAGGCTGGCAGTCACTGACCTATCGACAGCTAGTGAGGTCAAAGTGGGGACAAAAAAGAGACAAGATAGAAGTTTGGTGATTCTACTAGAAAGGGCAGAAGAGAACACAGACAGAGACAGACAGACAGACAGACAGACAGACACACACACACACACACACACACACACACACACACACACACACACACAGTATGGTTTGCAGGAGTTGGTTCTCTTTCCATCATGTGAATTCAGGGATTGAGCTCAAGTAGTCAGGCTGGTTGGCAAATACCTTCACAGCAGATTTAAGCAAGGTTATGAACATGTGTTTGAAAGTGACATATGTTTACATTTTTTGGTTTTGTTTTTCTCGAGTCAGGGTTTCTCTGTAGCTTTGGAGGTTATCCTGTTCTGGAACTTGCTTTGTAGACCAGGCTGGCCTCGAACTCACAGAGATCCACTTGTCTCTGCCTCCCAAGTGCTGGGACTAAAGGTATGTGCCACCACTACCTGATGTAAAAGGTTTTTGAAGTTGGAACAAGTAAAAGTTAATACAAATACACACATAACAAACCCAAGGTGTTTCTGGGAACATTTAGCCTTGTTGTACTACAGTGAATTTGTTGAAGTAGCCTCTATCTGAACACACAGCTGAACCTGAGACCTCTTGGCTCAGATCAGATGCTTTGTGTAATGGATGGTGGTGTTGTACACACTCTTACAAGACAATGGTTTAATTAGGAAGAATGCACATTCAATACTTTTCTATACTGTCTCAGCATATAAGTAGCTTTGGACTGTATACATTAGACTTTTTTTTTTTAAAGATTTATTTATGTTGTATACAGTGTTCTGCCTGCACATATGCCTGTAAGCCATAAGAGGACACCAGATCTCATTGCAGATGGTTTTGAGCCATCATGTGGTTGCTGGAAACAGAGCTCAGGATCTCTAGAAGAGCAGCCAGTGCTCTTAACTGCTAAGCCATCTCTCCAGCCCTGAATGTTTCATTTTTAAAAGCTGTTGTTTGAGTTACTGAGTTAAGTTTCATAAAAAGTTGTTAAATGAGTTAATCTTGAGATCAGGACAGAATAATGGCTGTAAACATATTTTAGCTATTTTGTGTTTATGTATTTATAAGAAGCAGTTCTCTCAGTATTGATGATAATAAAACCAAAATATATATCAACTCTAAGAAATACTGAACATACTCTACACTCTAGATATCCAAGGTTTAATTCATGAAAAAAATAAAGCAATTTTATATATGGTAAATGAAGAAATTACGAATATGCCAAAAATTGTTTTAAAGTTTCTTTATGATTCATCATCAATAAAAACATGATCTGTATATGTAAATCTCTATCCTACACCTGTATACCTAGGGCTGCATGAAATATTCTTGGGTGCAGGGGCTCAGCTGTTAAGGGTACAGTTCACTGCCATCTGTTATCCAATGCAGAGTTAATCAGCAACAGTTCCAACAAGTGTTCATATTAAACATTTCTATAAGTAATGTTTAAGGGGCTGGAGAGGTAGCTCCATAGTTAGGGGCACTTAATGATTTTGCAAAGGACCTGGGTTCAGTTCCTAGCACTTATATGGCAGCTTACAACCATCCTTAACTGTAGATATAGGGGCTCCAATGTCCTCTTCTGGCCTCCTCAGATATCAGGCATACAAGTAGGCAAAAGACCCATACACATAAAATAAAAATATTTTTAAAATCTTAAAAAAAAAAAAAAAGGGTTTTAAAAGAAAATATAGGATTTTTATTTATTTATTTATTTATTTATTTATTTATTTATTTATTTATTTTTAAAGAAAGTGGTAGTGGCCCGTATCTTCAATCCTGGTACTCAGGAGGACCTCTGTGAGTTTGAGGCCAGCCTAGTCTACAGAATGAGTTTCAGGACAGGCTCTAAAGCAATACAGAGAAACCCTGTCTTGAAAAAAACAAAAACAAAAACAAAGCCAGGCGGTGGTAGCTCACACCTTTAATCCCCAGCACTCAGGATGCAGAGGCAGGGTAGTTCAAGGACAGCCTCCAAAGCCAGAGAAACCCTCAAACAACAACAATAACAACAAAAAAATCCAAAAAACCAAAACCAAACCAAACAAGCAAAACAAAAAAAAACCACTCCTCCAAAAAAAGATATAGTAAGTCCAAAGCAGACAAATACCTATAGAGAGACATTCAATGACAGCTTAAGGCCAGTGAGTGAAGGAGCAAGAAGCGGGCACTAATTGGACATGAGATTCTTTTCAGTTGATAAAAATGTTCTATAATTAGACTGTGATGTTGGCTGTATAACTCAGTAAACATGTTAAACATGATGAATTATACAATTAAATGGCTGGAATTCCTTTAATACATAATTATACTTCAATAGAGCTGTTTACAAGCAAAACAGGCCCAATCAGCTCAAGAGGACCTTTTCATTGACAAAGACACACTCAAACATCAAAACCCTAAGGCGACAACTTTAGGTAAAACAAAAACATTTATATGTGTTTAACAGTATGATGTAAAATATTTAAACTGGTAATTCTTACCCATATTGGCCAATAACCCTGAAATTGCTTGAACATCAGCTCCAAGAAAAACTTCATTCAAGGTGGAAACTACTGGCAAACACAAAGTATGGACACGAATTCTTCTTTCACCTTTAGGGGAAAAACAGAATAGCTTTTTTTAAAAATAAGTTTATGTTAAAGTCACTCCTTTTTCCCTTTCCCATACTTGTCAGACAATCACTCTGTTTATCTATTGGGTGTGGAGGTCTGAAAGCTGGCTCTCTCACCATGGGCATCACCAGTCCTGGTGACTGGGCCCCTTTACCTGCTGAGCCACCTCACCAGGCCTTAAAATCATTTTTTCTTTAATTAGAACCTAGAAGGTCACATAAGAAACAGGGATACCATCAGAAAGTATGTTTTCAGGCTTTATATGCTAACTATGGAACTCCTCTTGTTTAAGTTATTACTAAGTAGGCAGCAGAAATTGTAGGTGATAATATGCTGGCTTTTTCTCTTTCCCTCCTGAACAGGATTGAGGTATAGCCCAGGCAGGCCACCAACTCATAATCTTGCTGCGTCAGCCTCCTGACTGCTAAGATTAGACAGGCACACAACTATACATAATAAACTCCCCACCTTTTAAAAGATCTATTTATTTGTATTTTATGAGTGTTTTGCCTGCATGTATGTTAGTATACCATATTCATGCCTGGTGCTAGAAGAGGACATGGGATCCCTTGGAACTAGAGTCCCAGATGATTATGAGCTGTCATATGGGTGCTGGAAACTGAACCTGGGTCCTCCAGAAGAACAGTCAATGCTCTTTTTTGTTTGTTTTTTGTAGAGACAGAGTTTCATTGTATATTCTGGTTGTTCTAGAACTCACTCTGTAGACCAGGATGTGATGGGAGATGCAATTATGTATATATGTTTCTCATACTGGTTAATAATAAAGCACTGTTGGCCAATAGGAAAGGAAGATAGGAGGGACTAGGAGACAAGGAGGAAATAGGAAGTAGGAAGGAGAGTCAAGATGGAGAGTCAGGAGAGAGCTGGACGCCAGCCGCCTCCCCGGTAAGAGAAGGCCATGTGAAAATACATAGATCAGCAGAAATGGGTTAATAATTAAGGCAGAGCTAGCCGATAAGAAACAAGTAACCAGGCCAACAGCATTGTACCAAAAAAAAAAAAAAAACGCACAGCTTTTAAATAACCCTGCTAACAATTTATTGGTGTGTATGAGAGATGGCAATCTCCAAGCAGGCAGCATGCTTTATGGGTTGCAGCGCAGACCAAGGCGGTGAGCACAGCTTTCCGTGCTGGCGGTAAAAGTATCCGCCACATCTTTGGTAAACCGCGGCAGACACAGCTATGACTTTCATTTTAGCAATGTTGTTGTTTACCAGATAAAAGACTTGTGGCCAGACGAAGATAAAGATTTACAGTAAAGACAGATTCATATTAAGAAAAACCTCTAAAGGTTTACAGTGTGTTTTAAAATATATGTAGACATGAAAAAAAATGGTTTTAAAAAGACAAAGAGGAACTGGGTGTTGTAGCACACGCCTTTAATCCCAGCACTCAGGAGACAGAGGCAAGCAGATCTCTGTGATTTGCAAAGTAAACCTGGTATGCAGAGTAAATTCCAGGACAGATAAGAGTTACACAGTGAAACCCTATGTCAAAAAATAAAAAAATAAAAGTAAAATAAACAGAGTAATAATAAAGCCACGTAATGATGAAAAGCTCAGAGAGATTCTGGTTACTGTATGCTATTGTGTTGTCTCTGCATTGTTTGACTGCTGAGAAAATAACAACTGATAAAGGAAATGCTTCTGCATTAATTCAATTTATATATTTTAAAAATGCTTTGACTCAAAAATTTAAGTCTGAGGACAAATTACTGGGGAAAAGGATTTCTATTTTTGTTTCAACAGGAAATAAAAAGCTGTGGATTCCTTCCAGACTAATGTGGTTTGAGCAAGCCAGACCGCCTGAAACAGAGTACCAGGTGATCCTACATTCAAAACAGCTGAACAAAGCAGCCTTGCAGACTACAGCCAAGATTTCTGCGTCTTCTCAGGATCCCCCATGACAGCGCCCCCTGTCAGCAGGAAGTAGTTTGGAAAGAACGACACCCAAATTCCCAAATATTGTTTATAAATGTTTGTTTTCATTTAAATGGACTTGGTTATAAATGGTTAATGATCACAACCAATATCTTTTTAAAGGTAAAAAGGGGATTATGGTATAGATATGAATATTTCATTTTGGAATGGATGTTCATTTATTGATAAAATTTAAGGCCAATGTTGTGATATGTATATTTCTCTTCTTGTTTATGTATTGTGTTTATATAGCTCATTTTAAAATGTAATGTATAATTTAGTACAGATTTTACATAGTTACCTATAATAGTCAAAACTTATAGCTAGGTGAGTTAGATTTTCAAGATACACAGAGATGTATTTGAGATAGATAGGCATTCTTCAAACCTTTCAAAGACCTACAGAATATGGCATTTAAAATGGTTTAGGGTTTTCGTGACAATGAGACATAATTGCTCTTGGCAATACCACCTGCATCAGAAAGGAAGATGGACATTGAAGAAACTCGTTATGGAGTTTGCTTCCAATATGGCAAGACTAGCCATTTGGACAAGATACTGCTCTTGTGTCTGGACTGTTTGACTTTGTGATGTATAAACTGGACATGCAGGATCCACAGGAAAGTGACTCCTGATTCACGATGGACATTGCTACAGAGTTCCTGCTTCATGGAAGAGTCTGCGAGAAAGCTGCAGGACACAGAGAAAAGTGACTGACAAACTGCCAATACAAGAAGACAGTTTAAAGTTTCCTGCTTTGCAGAAGAGTCTTCCAGACACACTATGGCCTATGTGCTGAAGATGGAAGATTACAGAAGAACTTCAGGTGACTGACAAGGCAAGATGTCTCTGTCATTTCTAGAGTTTATATACTATCCTTCTGTGGTCTTTGAAGGAGTTGAAGACAGATAGTTATGGTTATAGTTTTCCTTAGTTAGGATTCAATGATAAGGTACATATAGGACTTAGACTCACAAGATAAAATAGATGATGGAATATTTTCTTAAATCTTACTAAATGTTAATGGACTAAATATTGTTAACTGTGACTCTTATTGGATAACTGTTACGTAATATATTTTGCTATGTTAAGGTTAAAACGCTTCTTTTTATTTAGACAGAAAAGAGGAGATGATGGGAGATGCAATTATGTATATATGTTTCTCATACTGGTTAATAATAAAGCACTGTTGGCCAATAGGAAAGGAAGATAGGAGGGACTAGGAGACAAGGAGGAAATAGGAAGTAGGAAGGAGAGTCAAGATGGAGAGTCTGGAGAAAGCTGGACGCCAGCTGCCTCCCCGGTAAGAGAAGGCCATGTGAAAATACATAGATCAGCAGAAATGGGTTAATAATTAAAGGCAGAGCTAGCCAATAAGAAACAAGTAACCGGGCCAACAGTATTGTATCAAATACAGAGTCTCTGTGTATTATTTGGGGCTGGCGCGGCGGCAGGACAAGACCAGCGGTGGCGGGCGGAAAAACCCGTACTTGTTATTTGTATTTTATGAGTGTTTTGCCTGCATGTATGTTAGTATACCATATTCATGCCTGGTGCTAGAAGAGGACATGGGATCCCTTGGAACTAGAGTCCCGGATGATTATGAGCTGTCATATGGGTGCTGGAAACTGAACCTGGGTCCTCCAGAAGAACAGTCAATGCTCTTTTTTGTTTGTTTTTTGTAGAGACAGAGTTTCATTGTATATTCTGGTTGTTCTAGAACTCACTCTGTAGACCAGGATGGCCTCAATCAATCTCACAGAGATCCACCTGCCTCCACCTCCAGAGTGCTGAGATTAAAGGTGTGCACCATCACTGCCCAGCTTAGTCAATGCTCTGAAGTGCTGAGCCATCTCTCCAGTACCCTATTTTATTTTATTTTTATAATTATTTTATTCAGAAGCAATCATATCAATCCTGTTCCCTTTCCCTCCCATACCTGCCACTGAACCCCCCAACCCACCCACCACCCACTCCCCAAGGATAGTGAGGCCTTCCATGGGGAATCATCAAAGTCTCTCACATCATTTGGGGGCAGGCCTAGGCCCTCCTCCATGTATCGGGGCCGAAACAGTATCCCTTCATAGGGAATGGGATCCTAAAGTCCATTTGTGCACTAGAGATAAATACTGGTTCCACTGTTAGAGGTCCCATGGACTGCCCAGGCTTCCTGAAGCCCCCAATTTTATATACCTTGTTTATTTTGCTTTTTTGAAACAGGGTCTCACTATGTAGCCCTGGCTGTTCATTAATTCACTACATAGACCAGGTTGGCCTCAAACTCATAGAGATCCATCTGCCTCTCCTCCCAAGTGGTGGGATTAAAGGTGTGTGCTACTACAACTAGCATGTATTTTTTAATCACAGAAAAAAATTTTAAAAATTAATATCACAGTATCTTTTCTTTGGTAATCACAACAGCAATTAATGAATAAAAAGACCAATATGAAAATCTCTGGGTAATACTAAATGCCAGACCTGTGGTTATTCCTAGTGCTGAGCACTGTGACCACAGCATCATACAAGCTAAGCACAAATCCCACCACACGTTATAATTTTAGCCTCATTAATCAGTAATGTATTTTAGGCAAAGTCTCATAATTCTCAGGCAGGCCTCAAACTTGATAATATAGCCAAGGATGACTCTGATCATCCTGTCTCCAACTCCTAAATGCTGGGATCACAGGAGTGCACCACCATGCTTGCTTTATGCTGCATTGGGGATAGATCTGGACTTTGTGTATGCTGGGCAAACACCCTATCAGAGCTACATCCTTAGCATAATAAAGGGAATTGTTTTCCTTTTAGACAGGGTCTCTTTGTAAAGCCCTGGTTGGTCTTGAATGCACAGGGATCCAACTACCTCTGCTTCCCAAGTGTTGGGATTAAAGGCATGTGCGACTATGCTTAGCTCTAAGAAGATTTTTGTGTGTGTACGCATGTGTGTACCATGCATGCACATGTGTAGGCTAGAGACCAACATCAGATGTTCTTCTTTGATCACTCTTCACCTTATTTATTAAGACAGTCTCTCATTTTAACATCACACCATCACCTTTCTTTAGTAATTAATTACCCACACCACCAATGTTAGATTGGTGTTATGTTTTTGGTAGTGAGTATTTAGTATAGGATGTCACACTTAGAGTGGCTGGTCAACAAGGCCCCAGATCTGCCTGTCTCTGCCCTATAGCCCTGGGTATATAGATACATGGATAGCAGGCATCCAGATGCTGTGCCCACAGAGCCAACTCTCCAGCCCAAATAGGATTCTTTAAAGTTTACTGTTGTTTTTATTTGCGCGCGCGCGAGTGTGTGTGTGATGCGCACATGTGTGATGTGCTTGTGTGCGTGCAAGCATCACATGTCTGTGGGTGTCCACAGGAGCCAGAAGACAGTCTAAGATCCTCTGGAGCTATAGGCAATTGTGAGCTGCCACAGGGACTGAGAACAGAAATCTGGGTCCTCTGGAAGAGCAGGAAGCAGCACTGTTAACCACTGAGCCATCTCTCCAGTCTAGAGAGAAGTTTTTAAATTAGAGTGTCTGATCATAGATAAATAGCTGGTACTGGGAGTAGTGCAAGGGCATATCTATAATGCCAGTACTTGGGAAGCTTCGGGGGTTGCTCAAGTTTGTGTATATATAGTGATCTTGTCTCAAAAAAAAAAAAAAAAAAAAAAAAAAAAGGAAGGAAGGGAAGGAAAAAGAAAAAACTCACAAAGATCCACCTGCTTCTGCCTCCTAAATGCTGAAGCCAAAAAATTTTTTCTTTTAAAATGAAATGGGGGACTGCAGAGATGGCTCAGCAGTTAAGAGCACTGGCTATACTTCCAGAGGACCGGGTTTCAGTTCCCAGCACCCACATGGCAGCTCATAACTGCCCGTAACTCCAGTTTCAGGGGATCTGATACCTTCACACAGACACATGTGGAGGCAAAACACCAGTGAACATAAAATAAAAATTAAAAAGAAAATCTTTTGACTACCAAGAACAGCAATAAGAGTCTTATCATTACAAATAATTTGTATTATTTATTATCAATATCTAAGGTACTGAAGATAGGACCATAAGCCATAATAGGCACCAGCACACCATAAAGCTTACTTGATCCTTATACTTCATGCTTAGTTAATCATGTGCTATATACCTAAACATCTGTTCAGAGGAGGGAGGCATAGGTAGCTGAATTAAGTGTTTGAGGCTAGCCTATCTACACAGGTAGTTCTAAGCCAGTCAGAGCAGAGCTAGAGTGTTGAGATTTTGTCTCCAAAATAAAAAACATGTACTGTGAGAATAAATACAAACAAAAACATACCTTTACTTGATGTATATAAGAGTGCTGACTGAAAAGAAACCAGCTGAGTGTCAGTAAGGCTTTCTTCTACTGACATCTGCACTGCATACCCAGCATCTGGGTTGACATTAGGAAGAGACAGTAAGTCTGTAGAACGGACGAAGAAGTTCCCATGGAAAGTATGAATGGAAAGACCTAGAACAAAGAAATTATCACCATGATTGTTAAGTGTTCACTTTTTCTTTATGCATTCTTTTATGCATTTTCTTTGGAGATACAGTCTCTTTAAAAAATAAAAACTGGGGGCTGGAGAGATGGCTCAGAGGTTAAGAGCACTGGCTCTTCTTCCAGAGGTCCTGAGTTCAATTCCCAGCAACCACATGGTGGCTCACAATCATCTATAATGAGATCTGGTGCCCTCTTCAGGAAAGCAGATGTTCATGCAGACAGAACACTGTACACATAGTAAATAAATACACCTTAAAAAAAAAAAAAAAACTGAAATAACACATTTAGCATAAAATTTAACATTTTCATGTACACAGTTCAATGGTTTTAAATACATTCACAATATCCTGCATTTTTAAAAGATTTACTGATATCATTTTAAATTATGTGCATGTGTGTATCTATGAGCACATGAGTGCTGGTACCTACAGAGGCCAGAGGCATCAGGTCTCCTGGAGATGGAGTTACAGATAGTTGTAAGCCAGTGTGAATGTTAGTAACATAACTTGAGTCATTTGCAAGATCAGTATGTGCTCTTGGCTGCTGAGCCATTTCTCTAGCTCCAATATTCCCTGTTTTTAAATAGTTTTTCCTCTTTAAGTGCATATTGTATAATTTCACATTCTAAAACTCAGCAATATATCTTTGTATACTTTTATTATGTAAAAAAAAAAACCATGTAGGGACTGGAGAGATGTCTCAGTGATTAAGAGCACTGTCCTGAGTTCAATTCCCAGCACCCACATGGTGACTCACAATATTCTGATGCCATCTTCTAGCAAGCAAGTGTACATAAAGATAGAGTACTCATATACATAAATCTTAAAAACAACAAGATGTAGCCTTATGAAAGAAATAAAGTGTTCCCACCTTTGGTGCACCGGATCCTCATGACTGCCTCAAATCCAATCTTCCGAGTGAGGTATCTCTGTAGTTCCTTCTGGAATTTCTGCACTTGGACAGGATTGTGCTGATGATGGTAAGAGGGATAGTAATAAACACTGCCTGCTGAGTACCGAGAAATACAGCCTGGAAGAGAACAGACATTTTTTTTTTTTTTTTAAGTAAACCCTTCATTTACACGGACGTGCGCGCACGCGCGCGCGAGTGTGTGTGTTGAGTGAATATACATATATTTATTGTTGCCAGGTGGTGGTGACTCATGCCTTTAATTCCAGCACTTGGGAGGCAGAGGCAGTCAGATCTCTGTGAGTTTGAAACCAGCTTGGTCTACAAGAGCTAGTTCCAGGACAGATTCCAAAGCTACACAGAGAAACCCTGCCTCGAAAAACAAACAAAAAAACCCAAACAAACAAGCAAAAATTGTTATCATTTTAAATGATGTGCAAGTGTGTCAGGTTTGTACCAGAGGCATCAAATTCTTTGGAGCTGGAGTCAGGCAGTTGTGAACCACAATGTGATGCTGGTAACATAACTTGGGTTATGTTCTTTCTTTCTATCTATCTATCTATCTATCTATCTATCTATCTATCTATCTATCTATCAATCCGCACACACACTCATAGGAGTGCCTCATTCCCCAGCCTCTCAATACACTCCTGTAAAATAGTAACTACTAATGCTTCACATCAAAGGAACTGCACACATTTTCCTCTGGCTTCTCAAGGTTCCTTCAAAAAAAAAAATTATATTCCTTTATAATAGTGGTTGAGCAAGCAATTTCTTTACTTCCCTTTCACTAAGTTAAGAGTAGAATGCCAGTTATAATGATGTATGCTTTTATTCCTAGCACTTGGGAAGCAAAGCCAAGTAGATCTCTGTAAGATTGGGGCTGGCCTGGTTTACACAGTGAGTTCCAGGACAGCCAGGGCTCTATAGAGAGACCCTGTCAAAAAAAAAAAAAAAAAGAGTATTAGGTTTTAATACATTAAACTGACTGATTAGCAGGGTGGCCAGGCATGGTGGCACATGTCTATAGTTCAAGCTACTTGAGAGGGTGGGGTGTTAGCGTGGAGGATGGAGAATAATTACTGAGCTCAGAGGTAGAGACTACTTGCCAGGTATAATAGCACACACCCTTAATCCCAGCACTCAGGAGGCAAAGGCAGGTGGATATCTGAGTTTCAGGCCAGCCTGATTTTAGAGTGAGTTCCAGGATAGCCAATGCTACACTGACAAACGCTGTCTCAGGAAAAAAAAAATGGAGACCAGCAAGACCCCATTTCAAAAACTGAACATTATCATAACAACATCATTTTGACATTCATTTTTTAAAAATCATTTAAAAAGGACTTGCTAATGGGTGTGATAGCATATGTCTGTAACTCCAGCGCTTGGGAGATTGTTCAAGGTCTTCCTGGGAACCAGATGAAGTTCAAGGTGAGCCTGGGCTACCTGAGACCTTGTCAAAAAAAAAAAAAAAAAAAAAAAAAAAAAAAAAAGAAAGAAAGAAAAGAAAGGAAGAGGTAACAACATACCTAAAGAAGCCAAGTCAGAATACTGTCCACTGAGAAGGAATAAGTCAACAGCTGCCTGCTGGCCAGAACAGTCCAACGCTAATTTCTTATAGAAGTCAGTAGATGGTGTCAGGTGTATTTCCTATTAATTGTAGGATAGAAAGAGAAAATTTTAAATTCATCAAAAAAAAAAAAATATATATATATATATATATATATACACACACACACACACACACACACACACACACACACACACACACACTTAGGTATACCACAGTGTTAAAGCACTTTCTGAGGATTTAGGTTTATTCTGTTTATTACTAAAAAGAAATATTTTTAAAAAGAAAAGAACTTTTATCGCATTAATGTTGTAATAAACAAGGGTAATTATTATTTTTAACTTTAGTCTACTAAATGCTCCATATGCTGGGGACATGCTAACAATTCATACATGGCATGTATTTAGTCATTTCAGCTACCCGAAGAGGTGGGCATTAGCATCATCTTCTCTTCATACACAAAGAAATAGAAGGATGTAATGTATCAGTTACTGATGTCTAACCCCTATTTAATAGGCAGTAGAACTTAGGCTGTCTGTCTAGTAATGATATGAGAAGTATGTGGTAGACCTGTTTTTCTCTTATCTTTTGGGAAATGCAAATTCCTAACTCACCCACACAAGGAGCTCACAAGCAATTCCTGGCTGTTAGTCTGCCAGATAATGACACACTTACCGCTCTCTCTTCTTCCCTCACCCCCTCTCAACCAGACTGGCCTCAAACTCAAGAGATACACCTGCCTGTGCCTCCAGATCGCTGGGATTAAAGGTGTGCACCATCACTACCACCACTATCACCACCCGGCTATTATGAACCATTTCTTACTGTTGTTTTAGTTCCATTTTGTCTTAACAAATGTATTCCCATAGTCTTCCAGACTTTCTCATCAAAACCAGGTTCAATTTCTAAGAGTGTAAGATATTAAAGATAATAAAGCACAGATGCATCAGGCAGGTAGGGTAAATAATAAAACAGTTATGTGTACATAAAAGTGAAACCCTTGCTGGGCAGTGGCGGCACACACCTTTAGTCCCAGCATTCGGGAGGTAGAGGCTGGCAGAAAAAAAACAAACAAACAAAAAAAAGAGTTAAAAAAAAAAAAAAAAGTGAAACCCTTTATTCATTACCTACAGTCCCTCTTCCTCACAGCCAAGAAAATAATCAAACAAATAAACGGAAACAAACAAACAAACAAACGGTGTAAGAGACAGCACCAGCACAGGCCAGGCTATAAACCTGGTAGTCTAACCTTAGCGGATGACCTTTGGTTGGGTTCCTCTCGTGGTTTCAGGGCTCCCACACCAAGAGTTGGGAGTTGTGTTTGGAAGACCGACATTCGACCCCCAGTTGGTGACATTAGTTTGAATGCAGCCTGAAGTGCAGGACCCAAGGCACTCTGGGTCTCCAGTGTCTTAGTAAACATCTGTGGCAAACTTTTCAGTAAATCTTGGACAAGCTTGTGAAATAAAGAAGAAAACTCAAGAAAGTTACAATTACATTTTTTCACAATAAATCATTATCTAATACAATAGACAGGACACTGAATCATGATGATGGTCAGAGAATCTATGGACACTACAAGAAACAATGAAGTTGGTCAATGACAAGAAAGCCATTTTAAGTAAACAATATAAATTGGCAAGCAAGACATTAAAACTGGGGCCTTACAGTTCTTGCACATGCAATAGTCCAGCAAGACTGTAAATCCAGAATGTATGCAATTTATAAATTGATCTATTTTAAAGCCATGAAATATGGCTTTCTCCATCACCTTTACATACTTTATTCTCTTAAGTTCCAAAGTGAGTTTAACTCCTCCCTGTTGCAAAATCTAAGATATCCAGTAACGATGCCAACTAGTAGTATTACTATAAAAGAAAAACAAAGTCAAAACCAACTGCCTATTTAAGTTAGGTTGTACAGATAAAGGAGAATTAATGGGGAAAAATACTCTGTGCTACAGCACAGTCCCCACTAATGAGAGCGGGGACCACAGACTTGCTAGTTCAATGTTACCCTACGCCATATATGCAGGTACAGGGTAGACAACATCCCCCCTTCAGACACATTCTGTTCACCTCTCACTGTATTATGTCATGGCAATTTCCAGGCAGGTAATAAGAGTTTCTTCTGAACTGACCCAATGACACTCTGTGAATCAGAAAAGCAAAACCACTGAGAGCAGCCTGGCTATGTGCTTCCGTGCAGTGACCAGCAGTGTTCTTTCAGCAACCCTCCCACTGCCCACAGGGCCTCAGGCCACGCCTCCTCCAGGTGGGTGCTCTTCCTTCAGGAAGAGGCTTGTCTTCTGTTCCACTACAAAGAACTTGCTGCCTTAGACTAAAAGACGATCAGTACAAGACTGATCTCAAGAACCATCTATCTAGTGAGCTTAAATTAAGGGTAGATATAAAATGATACAGAACCTAAAAATACCAAAGAAAAGCAAAATTTTAAGTTCATTTCAGAAAAATGCATTGTGTTAAAATAAACATGGCAGGAAGGAAACTATGCCTTACCTCTTTACTTTCATTTAAGTTTACTAGTAAGTTCTCTGGCATAGGTATAAAAACATCTGAAAGAATAAAGAAGCATTCATTTTATTATTTATCTTTTGTTGTTGTTGTTGTTTGAGATAGGATTTCACTGTGTAGCCTAGGCTGCCCTGACACTATTAATGTAGACCAGTCCGACCTGGAACTCACAAGAGATCCACTTACCTTTGTTTCCCAAGTGCTACAATTAATAGTATGTGGTTACTATACCTGTTAAAGACACATTTTTAATATTAGGAAGCCAGCTATGGGATTAGAGAGGTAGGTCAGTGGTTAAGATCACTAGCTGCTCTTCTGAGGACCTACGTTCACTTCTCAGCATCCACGTGGCTCACAACCATCAGTAATTTCAGTTCCAGGCTATCCAACATTACCTTCTGACTTTTGCAGACAATGATTAACGGAACATACAAAAATAATTTTGTTTTGTTTTATTTAGAGACAAGGTCTCACTATGTAGCTCTGGCTGTCCTCAAACTCACTCTATAGACCAAGCTTGCCTGCCTCTGCCTCCCTCCCAGGCTTAAAAGTGTGCACCACTAAGTTCAGCAAGATTGCTTTGTTTTTTATCCGAAATAACAGTTTATTAATATTTTTGTTATTCAGAAGGCAGATGCTTCTTTATAAAGCAAATTCCAAACCAGTGCCCTACTAATTGGACTACAAATGCAGGTGAACCAGAAGCTGCTCTGATCACTTTAGGTGAGCCTCTCAGAATATTTGTTCTTTCATTTACTCGTTTGGTGATATGGTTTGTTTTGTTTTTAATTTTTAATGTCCATGTGCTATATATGCCAGTGCATGTAAAACCCAGAAGACAGTCTTAAGTAGCATCTTCAGAAATGCCAACCACTTCCTTTGACACAAGATCTTTCATTGGTCTGGAGCTCATCTATTAGACTAGACTGGCTGGCCTGCTAGGCCCAGGGATCTGTCTGACTGTCTTTCAAGTACACCACCACGCCTGATATTCTTAAGTTGGTTCTGGAGGTGGAACTCAGGTCCTTAGGTTTGCAAGGCAAGTACTTTACTGACAGAGCTATCTCCTTAGCCCCTTGTTTGGTTTTGAGACAGGGTCTTACCATGTAGCCCAAACTGACTTGGATCATCTTGCCACTTTTGTGTCACTAATGCAGAAACCACAGGTGTGCACTACCATGCCCAACTTATAAACTACCGTTAAAAGAAAAACTCCTGCTCAAGGCCAATCCAGGGTGCATGAGACCTTGTCTGAAAACAATTTTTTTTTTTAACTTATTTTTAGAACCTTCATTAAAATCCTTACTTTTTGATAATATAGAACTGATCCCTTATAATTTTCCATGTACCCATGTTTTCTTTCAAGTTTGATTCCATCTAAGAAGAGGAATTTAATTCCTAAGAAAAATAAATTTTGAATGTATTATCCACATTAAATTGATTATTAGGCCTGGAGATACGGTTCAGAGTTGTTCTTCCAGAGAATGCTAGTTCAAATCCCAGCACCCATGTCAGGCACTCAACTGCCTGTAACTCTACCTTCAGGGGATCTAATGCCCTCTGGCCCCTGCTGACATCAGCAGAAACAGACACACATACACATAGATAAAGTAAGTTCATTATCAGATATATAATTACAAGTATTTTTTTCCCTCCTATGGGCTGTTTTCTATATGCTATGTTCTCTGATAAACTGGTATTTTGTTTTTCTTTTGCAATGCTAGAGCTCAAACCCAGGGCCTTGCTTGTGAATGAGCACTCTATTACTTACTTTCCTAGCCACAAAAGCCTATTAAGACAGGGCTTTACTATGTATTTCAGGCTGGTCTTAAAATTCTGTAATACCTCCCAATGGCTGGTATTACAAGTATATGGGACCATACATATCAAAAATTTGGTTTTGAGACAGGCTCTCACATATTCCAAGCTGTCATTGAATTCACTATGTAGCTGAGGATGAATCTGAACTTGAACCCTCCTGCTTTTTATTTATTTGTTTGTTTGTTTAATTTTTGGAGGCAGGGCTTTACTGTGTGTGTATATCCCCAGCTGGCCTGAAACTTGCTATACAGACCAGCTGAACTGGCCTTGAACTCACAGTGATCTGGCTGTCTTTACCTTCTAAGTGCTGGGTTGCCTCTGAATGTTAAGTGATGGGATTTTGGGTATTTATCACCAGGCATTGGATTTTTGTTTTTCATGGCAGTGTTTCTGTGTAACAGTTCTAGCTGTCCTAGAACTTGCTCTGCAGCCCCAGCTGGCCTCAAACTCACAGAGATTCACCTGGCTCTGCCTCCTAAGTACTAGGATTAAAAGGAACACACCACTATTGACCAGTCTTACCATGCATGGTTTTTTTGTTTTTGTTTGTTTTTTGTTTTTCTAGACAGGGTTTCTCTGTATTGCTTTGAAGCTAGCTCTGTAGACCAGGCTGGCCTCAAAGTCACTGAGATCCACCTGCTTCTGCCTCCCGAGTACTAGGATTATTAAAGGTGTGTGCTCCCAACACATGGCCCATGCATGGTTTTATTTCCATCATACTTAGGGATCTATGAATATTAGATAAGAAATTATCAACTGAGCCACTCCAGTCTATCAGCAAAGTTATTTACTTATTTGTTTGTTTGTGTGCAATTGAGGGAGACACACAGCATTCACTTGGAATTCAGAAGACAGCACGCAGGAGTCCATTTTCTCCATCTACTTTTTAAAAATTTTTTATTTATTTATTATGTATACAGTGTTCTGCTTGCATGTTACCTGCACACCAGAAGAGGGCACCAGATCTCATTACAGATGGTTGTGAGCCACCATGTGGTTACTGGAAAATAAACTCAGGATCTCAGGAGGAGCAGCCAGTGCTCTTAACCTCTGAGCCATCTCTCCAGACCCCAGGTTTTATATTTTTAACTCTTCTTTTTTTAAAAGACAGTGCCTCACTACATAGCCTTGGCTGTCCTGGAATTCACTGTGTAGACCAGGCTAGCATGGAATTCTGTGTCCACCTGCCTCTGCCTCTGGGTGCCAGAATTAAAGATGTGTCCCACCACACATGGCCTTTTTTAAAAAATATTTTTTTAAAAAATATTTTTTAAATTAATAAATCTATTTTTAACTCAAGTTTACTTCTTTTTGTTTGTTTTTTTGAGACAGAGTCTCATTATTTATCCCTGGCTGCCTGGCCCTCACAATGCAGACTAGGGTAACCTCAGACTGTAGTGATTCTCCTGGGCAACTTCTTCCAAGCTCAGGGGGGTCACAGGTGCTACCACATTTGGCCTACTTAATCTCTTTAAACAGTACAGTCTCATTCTTTCGTGTGTCTAGTTTTCCCTCACTGAGTAGTCTTGGAATCATTAACTAACTGACTGTTTCTTCAGGGTCTTTTTTGAGCTTCAAGATCTCTTTTTCTTCCCAATCTGTACTCAAGTTCTTTTGTGTCTGGGTGGTACCGCTAGGAACTCACCCGCACAGCTCCACCCGAGGTCCTCAGGCGCTTCTGCAATGCTACATCTTTCATAAGCTCTAACAGAAACATGTCTGTGTTCCCTGCTCAGAAATCACTTCTCCTCCACAACCCTTTTGCTTTCTGATAAGAGACTGAACTTAAAGATTCTGACAACTCCATCAATCTAATATTTTTCTACCCAACACTTCTCTTCAGGCTGGTATGGTGTCACACAAGTTTAAGGCCAGCCTGAGCTATTCAGTGGTTTGAGCTCTGGGGAAAAAAAAAAAAAATTTCTTCATTATACTAGCGTCATGTCACATATTTCTGATTCACCAAGCACTCAGGAAAATTCTCCAGGCAGTTCAGTGAGTTTAGGTATATAATACCTACCATCAATATCTGAAACAATTAGCATCTGAGGTTGGGAGAGACCTTCTTGAAGACTGTAGAAATGGATAGTGCTATCAAATGTTATGAAGCCAATTTTTGTCCTAGTGTTGCCAGGAAGCCTAGAAATAAATTTATAAGGAAGTTTTAATCAGTGTTTGTGCACACACACACACTCTCTCTCTGCTAAGTGTCACAGGTAAGCATTCAATGAAATAGTAGAGAAAGTGGCCCAGGATAAATAGGTATTTACATCAGCCAATGTTTACCTGCTGTGAAAACAACCTCCTCAAGTGAAAAACCAAATTGTCAACAAAAAGCAGCAATACTACAGCAGTTTAAAATCAACTGCTTCTATATAGTTATAAATAATTTCTTGGCATATGTGAGTTTTTTAAAAACCTGAAAAATCTGTACAAAACTGGGCTGAATTTCAAGTTATCAAGAAAAAAAATGCAGGGGCTGGGGATTTAGCTCAGTGGTAGAGAACATGGCAGACAGGTGTTAAGGCCCTGGGTTCAGTCTCTAGCACCACAGGAAAAAAGAATGCTTCAAAAAATGATATAGCATTTTAAAATGCATTGTAGGGGCTGGAGATGGCTCAGTGGTTAAGAGCACTGGCTGCTCTTGAAGAGGACCCAATTTAATCCCAGCAACCACATAGCAGCTCACAACCATCTGTAACTTCAGTTCCAGAGACTGAATGTTCTTTTCTGACCTCCTCTGGCACCTGGCACACATATGGTACACATAAATAAATGCAAGCAAAACACTCATATACACATAAAAAACCAAAATCTTAAAAAAAGGAATTAAAATGAAATGTAAATTTAGCTACTGTATCTATTTAAAAGAATTACATAAACCTTTTATTTTACTTAATACCTTTAAGAACAAAAAGGAGCAAAAGTATTTGTTTTAAAGGACCCAATATATGGAACAAAATGAGTGAGAAAGGAACTAGCTTCCAGCCTTTTCCATGCTTGGGTAACTTAATGTTCCCTCTCAGCCACACACAGTCACCACATAATATACAGCCTAGAACATGAGATACAAACACAGACAGGAGCAAGAATGCCCTTTTGGCCAATGTGAAGGAGTTGTGATGAAATAATGCCTAGTCACACTAATTTTTATAAATTCTATCATGTGTACATAACATTTAAAACATATGCATTAAACTGGGTGAAGCCGGGTAGTGGTGGCACATGCCAGCACTTGGGAGGCAGAAGCAGGCAGATCTCATGGTCAGCCTGGTCTACAGAGTAATTTTTCAGGACAGCCAGGAATGTTAAACAGAGAAATCCTGTCTTGAAAACCTGTCCCCATCACAGAAAGTCAATGAAATGATTCCTAATGATATTCTGCTATACTTATAGATTTGTGCCTAGCCCAATTGTCATCACAAAGACTTCATCCACAAGTGATGGAAACAGATCCAGAGACCCACAGCTCAACAATAGTAGAATTTGGGGAATCCTATGAAGAAGGGGAGGAAGGATTATAGAAGCCAGAGGGGTCAAGGACATGACAAGAAAACCCATAGAATCAACTAACTTGGGCTCATAGGGGCTCACAGAAACTGAAATGATGGACCTGCACAGGATGGACCTAGGCCCTCAGCACATATGTTACAATTGTGTAGCTTGGTCTTCTTGTGGGACTCTTCTAACAGTGGGAGCAGGGGCTGTCTGACTCTGCTGTCTGCTTTGGGGACCCTTCTTTCCTATTAGGTCGCCTTGTCCAGCCTTAATAGGAGAGGAGGTGCCTAGTCTCCATGCATCTTGATATAAGAGCATGGCTGGTTCATATCCATGGGAGGCCTGCCCTTTTCTGAAGAGAATGGAGGAGGAGTGGACGGGGGAAGACAGGCAGGACTTCGAGGAGAAGAGAGAAGGAAAAGAAACTGTGGGGTCTGATGTAAAAAGTAAATAAAATTTTTAAAAATACGTATATATAAGTGAAAAATCATACCATGACTAGGCACAGTGGTTCATGTCTATAATACCAGCACTCAAGAGGCCAAGGCAAGAAGAGTGCTGGAGGTGTGGAGCCAATCTGAGTTACACAGTGAGTTTGAGGCCTGCCCTGACTACAGAGCAAGATCTTGTACTTAAAAAGCCTGGAGGTATTGAAAGGTAATATGGTGTGATGGCCGAGGCTTGGTTGAAAATAGGCAAGTAGAAAAGGTGTATGAAAGAGGGCTCCATGAAGCAAACCAGCAGCATGTTGAAGGTGACAGGCACAGGGGCTCCTCAGACTCCTCTTCCCAGTACTCTAAGTATGGCTTAAGCTATCCCAACCCATTTAAGTGGTCCTTTAGAACATCTTTATGCACCTTTAAAATAAACTAAGTGTTCATTTTGAAAACACTATCTCTTTCAAATTAAGCTGAATTACAACACTTACAGATCCAGATTGTCTAACAAACTCTGACAAACCGAATTCAAGTATCCAGTTTCTATTGCGTTGTGAGATACATCAAACACAAAGAGGTACACTGGAGGTTGTGGTGGTCGTAACTAGAGGGAAAAAGAATTCCATTAAATACATCCAACAGTATTACATTTAAATTTACATGCTGAGGTCACAGACAGCAAAACTACAACATAAGCACTATTAAAGGGCTAAGTGGAGGCAACAGTGAACTATTTCCCATCTACCACAAGCTCTAAGTAAGGTCTAAGCTGACATATCTTTGAAACAAACTGATTGCTCATTTTGAAGACACTACTTATTTCAAATATAAGGGAAGAGAAGTGTGTTTGCACAGTTCAGAAGAGATCTCTCCAAGCAGGAAAGAGTATGTGCCATCACAAGGCTCCGGCACTGCTGGAAATGCTCTGCTCTTATTTTTTTTAAGATGTGTAGAGTGCTTTCCTGCATGCTTGTGCACCATGTACAGACACCCTGGAAGCCAGAAGGGAAATGTTGGATCCCCTGAAACTGCAGTACAGATGGGCATCAGCTCTCATGTACGTGCTAAGAATCAAATCTGGGTCTCTTGGAAGTCTACCAGTGTTTTTAATCCCTGAGACATCTCTGCAACACCTAATGTTAAGGTAGGTAGTGGTCAAGACATTACTAACAAAGGTAGTTTACTTCATGATTATTTGATAACTTATACGATTATGATTGGCTTGTCTATTGAGCAAATTTCTTCATCATCATCATCATCATCTTTTTTGTTTTGTTTTTGAGAGGGTTTCTCTAATCCTGGCTGTCCTGGAACTCACTCTGTAGACAGGTTAGCCTCGAACTCACAGGGATCCTCCTGCCTCTACCTCCTGAATGCTAGGATTAAAAGCATGTGCCACCACATTTGGCTGAAACAGCAGATGCTTGGGCTCTTTAATTTGACAGAGAAAGTGCAGAGAACTTTACTAATCACTTCAGCAACTCAAAGAATAAAAAAAAAAAAAAAAAAAAAAAAAAAAAGGTCAGACTCCCTCAAAAATTATCTAGTAAAATGGATTCAACCTTACATATAAGTACAAAAATACTATATATACATACTCTAAAATAGCGAGACAGCTCACTTGAAATGCTTGCCATACCAGCATGAAGACCCAAGTTTAATCCCCAGAACCCATGTGAAAAATCTAACGTGTTGGCATGAGTTTGTAAACAGTGCTGAGGAGGCCAAGACAGGAGGGTCCTTTGGGCTCTCTAACTAGTTAGCCCACCCTAATCAACGAGTCCCAGGTCAATGAGAGATCCTGTCTCAAACAAACAAACAAGCAAAAACCAAGGTGGGTTGGCTTAGTAATGCATTCCCAAAATCCCAGTTTCTCTCAAGAGGCAGAGGTAGGCGGATCTCTATGAGTTCTAGGCGAGTCTGGTCTCCAGTGTTCCAGGACAATCAGGGCTACATAACGAGACCCTGGTTCAAACAAAAAAGAGCAAAAATCATGATGGATGACACCTGAGGAATGACATTAGAGGTTGCTCTCTGTCTTACAGGATCACACACACACACACACACAACAATAATAAACTAGTAATAAAGATTGGTATTAGCCAGGCATTGGTGGCTCACACCTTTAGTCCCAGCACTCGGGAGGCAGAGACAGGCAGATCTCTATGAGTTTGAGGCCAGCCTAGTCTATAGAGCAAGTTCCAGGACAAGTTCCAAAAACAATACAGAAAAACCCATCTCAAACAAACAAACAAACGATGGTATTACACGGTAGTATCATTATCACACTCCTTTTTATTAGATGCAATTAAGGCTTAGTAAAAGAAAGAAATCCTAAATCAAGAGGCCTGGGCTCTGTGTTTTATTTATTTGCTTTGTTTTATGTGTATGTGTGAATACCAGCATGTATATATGTATGTGTGTGTGTGTACTACTCAGATACAGTCCAAACAGAGACCAGAAGAAGGATTCAGATCTCCTGAAATCAGAATTACAACTTGGGTCCTCTTGTAAGAGCAGTCAGAGTGCTTAACCCCTAAACCATATCTCCAGCCACTGGGGTTTTTTTGTTTTGTTTTGGAAATTATTTTATATAGCCCACCACTGACCTAACTCACATATAAGGCAGGCTTGAACTTCTAATCCTCCTGCCTCTACCTCTTAAGTGCTTGGATTACACAGCATTATTTGTAAAATACAGAAGTCATATTTGACTGAAATATATGAAATATAAATATGATCACAATATTTTATTACAAATTGCTTGATACAGACAAGATACTGATGCTGTGGAATATTCCTGTACACTGTGTAAATTATGCTCTGATTGGTTTAGTAAAGAAGCTGACTGACCAATAGCCAGGCAGGATAAGGTTAGGCAGAAAAAACAAACTAAGGAAGGGAAGAAGGGCAGAGTGAGGGAGACCCAAGCTGGCTGCTGGGAAGGCAAGATGTTAGAGGACAGATAAAGCCACAAGCCATGTGGTAATACACAGATTAATATAAATGGATTAATTTAAATGTGAGAACTACTTAATAAGTCTGAGCTATCGGCAAAGTGTTTGTATTTAATATAAGCCTCTGAATGGTTATTTGGGAACCAGTGGGCAGGAGAGAAAACATCCATTTATACACTAACATGGAACCTTACACACCTTTACTCTCTGAATATCTTATTCTAACTACATGCGTGTATGTGCATACATGTGCACAAACATGCTGATGTGTGCACTGTGGGTACATGCACACTATAGAGAATGTATGGAAGTCAACTCTCAGGATCTGTTTTTCTCCTTGCACCTTGGTGTGGGTTCCAGGGATGGGACTCAAGTCCTGGGCCTGCACAGCAAGCATTTCTACTTGTCAGATAAGTATCTTCTCAGCTAAGAACAGAATTTTGTTGAAGGTTATTATATTGTTTTTCTTAAAATTCAATATTATAGTTGGGGTTATGGCTCACAACCATAATTACATCACTTGGAAGACTAAAGCAGAATTATGGGAACTCTGAAGCTATCTCAGCAAATTAGCAAATGCCAGGCCAACCATGAATACATAGCAAGATCCTTTTGCAAAATAAAATAAAATAATCAGCATAACCCCTCCTTTAAAAAAGAAAAGTAAAAGAATGCTTACCATGCCAGGCATTGGTGGTGTACACCTTTAGTCCCAGCACTTGGGAGGCAGAGAAAGTGGATCTCTGTGAGTTCAAGGCCAGCCTGATCTACAGAACAATTTCCAAGACAGGCTACAAAGCTACTCAGGAAACCCTATCTGGAAAAACAAACAAAGAAACAAAAAGAATGCTTACCATGTATTCTGAAGGAGCCATAAACTCAATAGTAGCGTTCTGAACTTCAGGCCTTCTGTGAGGTTCTCCATAAACTCTGGTTAAAGGGTTGTACATGAATTCTTCAGGAACTATGCAACACAAACAATATATTGATAAAAGGATTAATTCAATACCTTGTACTTGGATATTTTACTTTACGGTGTTGTGATTAATTTAATCCAAGCAAAAAATAAAGTAACACAATGACTTTTACAAAGGCTCCATTTAAACTCCCACACTAGATGGCAATAAGAGGCTTTGCTGACAACTGTAATCACTGTGACTTTCCCCAGCACTTGATGTCCTGTCTAAATTCTTTTTGTTGTTGTTTGTTTTTTGAGACAGAGTTTCTCTGTGTAATAGTCCTGGCTGTCCTGAAACTCAATCTGAAGAGCAGGCTAGCCTCTCAGACTTACATTAAATGCCACTTGTTTTCCAAAATCTCACAAATGTACAAAAATTAACCTTTGACCCAGAAGGCACGAAGGCTGGGTGCTACCAGAAAATGGAGGTGCAAGTGCTTCAGGGTGAAAGCCAGGAGGAATCAACAAGTTTCATAAATACCAATTGCCTTTATACAACACCAACTGCCCCAACTTGTTATTCACTATGCTCAGAGCTGTCACTGAAACCTAGCTTCCCAGAAATTGTTTGAATCTTTAGCCTGGGTGAAGTGACGCATGCCTATAATCCCAGCATGTGAGAGACTGAGGCCAGGGGTGGGGGGTGGGGGTGTGTGACCAAATTAGGTGGCAGCCTAGGCTACCTAGCAAATAAATTCCAGGCCAACCAGGGGTATAATTCGAGTCCCTGTCTCAAAAAGTAAAGGGTCAGGAAGATGACACAGCTGATCAGGGTAGCTGCAGTCAAGTCTAACAACCTGAGTTTGACCCCTGGAACTCACATTGGGGAATGAAGAGAACTGAGTCCTGACAAGCTGTCCTCTTATCTCCATGTGCATATGTGTGTGGCATGTGTCTCCCACCCCCCTATACACAAAATAAATAAATGTGATTTAAAAATTAGCAAATAAGTCACAATGACTACACCAATCTAAAATCTTTATGTATTCAAAGGGTAAGGTACAGTTTATTAAATAGCTCAATGGCATATGAAGGAGGCTACAACTTTTTTGGGGGGCGGGGGGTTTGGAGACAGGGTTTCTCTGTGGCTTTGGAGGCTGTCCTGAAACTGGCTCTGTAGTCCAGGCTGGCCTTGAACTCACAGAGATCTACCTGCCTCTGCCTCCCGAATGCTGGAATTAAAGGCATGCACCACCTCCACCTGGCTAGGAGGCTATAACTTTTATCAAAACTTCATTTGTGCACATATACTCAAGATTTTAAAGATGAAAGCCAGTGGTGGTTATGCACATCTTTAATTCCAGTTTGAGGCCAGCCTGATCTACAGAGCTAGTTCTAGGATAGTCAGGGCTACACAGAGAAACCCCGTCTCAAAAAAACAAACAAATAAATAAAACCAAAACAACAACAACAAAAGATTAGGTGAATTAAACACTACATTTTTTTTCCCTGAATTTTTATAAAGTAGAGAATATACTTGGTTTTGTTTTGTAGCCCAGGTCAGCCTTAGCCTCTTCAAGGGCGCAAATCACAGGTATGTGACACCACACTCAACTATAGTCTCATCTCTAATTAAATTTCTTCCAAAAAGTTATTTAATCGTTTCCTCTCCTGTTCTCTTTTCTCTCTCTTCTGTCTCTCTGAGTCATGCTGTCATGTAGTCTGCCCAGACTGCTCTGAACTCTCCTATATAGTCCAGGGATAACATAACCTGCTGCCTCTGTCTCCCAAGTGCTAAGGATCCCAACAGAATGCTGTTGATAATAGGATGCCCTTCAAATATAAATTATGAAGTAGTTACTGAGAAAGCACACCTCTTCTTCAGTTACTGATCACACTCATTCAGCTAACCTAGTACTGACCCACTCTTCAAAAGCAGTGAGGGAATAAAGCAACTGGTACTTATTAACTTACTTTCTATCACCCTAGGGGGAAATTACACAAATTAATTTCAAAATAAAATATTTATGGCTGGAGACATAGCTTAGATGGAAGAGTGCTTGCCTAATATGGAAGACGTCCTGGGTTCAACCTCCAGCACTACATAAACCAGATATGGCAGCATATACCTGTAACCCCAGCACTTAGTAGGAAGAGGAAAGAGGATCAGAAGCTCAAGGCATCCTTAGCTACACAGTGATTTCAGACTAACCAGGGATACAGGAAAAAAATGTACCAAATAAAACAAAAAACTTAAACAGTACTGTGAACTATTCCACTATAATCTCAATATAATAAATGTAAACTAGTGCCTCAAAATTATCTCATTTCTACCCAAAAGTACTCATTTTTATGTATAAAGGTATAAAAAAAGTTAACAATAGCTATCTGAACTAAAAAAAGAGACTAATTATCTGTAGATCAAGTAAATAAAAGGGCTGTTTTTCTTTTTTTCAAGATAGGGTTTCTCTTTGTAATAGTCCTAGCTGTCCTGGAATTCACTCTGTAAACCAGGTTGGCTTTGAACTCACAGAGATCCACCTGCATGTGCCTCCCAAGTTCTGGGATTAAAGGTGTGCACCACCACTGCCCAGCTAAGGGCTGTTTTTCTTGAACTAGGCTTTCACCATTACTACCATCCTGCTCAGGCTCCCTAGTGGTTAGAATCTCACGTACTTGTGCTCTCTCTGTCTTTCTCAAGACAGAATCTCTTTCTATGTATAGACCGGCTGGTTTCTCACTCAGAGATCTATCTGCTCTACCTTCTAAGTGCTGGGATTAAAGAAGTGAACCACCAAGCCCAGCTCTTGTCATTCTGTACTTTATTGTCTGGTTTTATGCACATTGCAAGTAAAAATTAGAAAATGTTTCAGGGGGCTGGAGAAACAGCTCATCATTAAGAGTGTATACTGCTTTTGTGGAGGATCCCAATTCAGTTCCCACATCTGGCAGCTCACAACCATCTGGAACTCCAGGTGCAGAGGGATCAGATGCCTCTGGTCTTCAAGGGTACCTGTATTTAACGGGCACATATACCTACACACATAATCACAATTAAAATAAATTTTTTGTTTTTGCTTTTTTGAGATGGGGTTTCTCTGTGTAGCCATGGCTGTCCTGGAACTCACTCTGTAGACCATGCTGGCCTTGAACTCACAGGTACTACCATCACCTGACATAAATATGTTTTTTTAAGACAGTGTTTAAAAAATACATACCATCATTGACTCGATAACATAAGTTACATTTCCACCTTCTTTGATCAAGAAAGTTGACAAAAGGGTTAATGTAAGTCCTACATGAACGGCATCTCACAATTGTACTGGAGGTGACCACAGGCAATTGCTGGGAAAAAAAAAACCAAAAAAAACCAAAAGCTAAGTTGTTAAAGGCAATGTTCATTAAGTTGAGCAAGAAGACATTAATCTATCCCTTCCAAATAACTAGCAAGACATTTTAACTCTGGAGTGAAACCTAGGGCAAAAAGTGTGGGCAGAGGCTCACATCTGGGGCCAGAGTGTAGGAGAAGAAGCAAGGGAGGCAGCAAGCCTGAGGCCAGCCTAGGCTGCAGAGCCAGAGCTACTCTCAAAACACCACATGGGAGTGGCGTCAGTCCATAGTGAAAGGTATCAATTAGAAAAGTATTCATCTTTTCACTAAGCATTCACACTGCAGACCAAGAAAACAATGTGTTTTCAAGGAAAAATATAAAGGAAGTAGGAACAACATTCCCTTTTGATTAGATAGGTCTCACCATGTTGCCCAGATTAGTTTCAAACTCCTGGATTTAGGTAATCTTTCTGTCTCAGCTCTCAGAAGATAAAGTATATTCTAAAATAATGAGGAATGAAACTGTTGCATAGTCTTGACTTTATATTATCAACTATATTAAGACTTATGAGTCAGGGCTAGAGAGATGGCTCAGAGGTTAAGAGCACTGTCTGCTCTTCTAGAGGTCCTGAGTTCAATTCTCAGCAACCACATGGTGGCTCAAACCATCTGAACTGAGATCTGATTCCCTCTTCTAGCAAGCAAGCATGTATACATAATAAAAGAAAAAAAAATTAGGAAAAAAAAAAAAAGCTGGGCGTTGGTGGTGCACGCCTTTAATCAACTTCTTAGAGCAATTGACTTCACTGCAAAAGCATCTGACTGGAAAAGCTAGGATAAACTACTTTAATGGTAATTTACAATTTAGTTAAATAGAGTAGTTCAGTTTTTTTTTTTTTGTTTGTTTGTTTGTTTATTTTTAAAGAAGTGTCTCAGGGGCTGGAGAGATAGCTCAGTGGTTAAGAGCACTGACTAATCTTCCAGAGAACTTGGGTTCAATTCCCAGCATTCACATGGCAAATAACAGCAGTTTGTGACTCCAAGATCTGACACCTTTACACAGACATACAGGAAGGCAAACATCAATGCATATAAAATAAGAATAAAGAAATTATTTTTTCTTAAAATATCTCAGTATATAGCCCAGGCTTGCCTTAAATTCAAAATCCTGCTCTTAGTTCCCTGAGAGTTGGAATCGCAAGTGTGTACTACCATGCCTGGGTACAATTTTTTTGTTGCTGTTGTTATGTCCATCTATATAGCATCCCTTGAGTTTTTCAATAAATCTTCTTCTACCTTGTTCTTAAATTATAATAAAATTGTTGGTTGAAATTAAAAATTAAAATGAAAGTAAGTTTGCCACATAACAGACTTTACATTCACTCTTACACTGTTGCAGAAATACTTTACCATTTAAGATAATTTCCACAAAACATTTACTTCCTCTAAAAGAAGCATACCTCTAGGTCTTTGAAAGGGTGGAGAAGCAGCCCCAAAGGAAGCTTGGCTTTATTCAGTAAGGCCTGAGTCTGAGGGATGTTAGTCAAAGTGCATCGAAATAACCTGTTGGTGGAGAAAATGCACATGTCACGTGAAATCATTATTTACAACAAATAAAATAAAATAAAAAGTGCATATTTTTATCTTAGATAAGATTACAAATGAATCATAGACCTTACATTTTATATTATTAAAATATTTAAATTGCCATGTATGCCACACATAACCATGAATCCAGGTCCCAGGAAGCTGAGGCACTAGGATTACATTTTTGAAGTTAGTCTGGGTCACAGTGAGACCATGTCTCAAGAAACTAAAATAAAAAATTAAATCAAAGACCTACTAATCATGAAGAATAGTCTTATCTGGCTTCTGTGTAAAATAGTCTGGACTAATAATTATTACCTTGGAATCAATAGGTGTTGACTCAAATCCTCAAACAAAACTTTATTTTTTAAACAATTCATTATGTAATACACATATTTATTTATTTATTTGTTTATTTATTTCGATGGGCTTTGGTATGCCACCTAAGCTGGTCTTGTACTCCTAGGCTCAAGTGATCCTCGTATGTCACTTGACCAAATAGCTAGGACTATGTGTGCACACATACACAAGGTCAAAGGTTATTAAAAAGCAGTTTTACTAAAGCTTTTAAAAATATTATGTCAAAATAACAAATTCTGTAATTGATGAGTCTTTATTACATACATTTAAATGATTTAGGGACTAAAAGAGCTGATCATAATGGCTTTGAATTTTGGAGACTAAGTCAAGGATGAAGTTTGAGGCCAGGCTGGGCATGGTAGCAAACACCTTGAATCCCAGCATCCGGAGGCAGAGGCAGGCTGATACCTACGAGTTTGAGACCAACCTGGTCTACGCAGTGAATTTTAGGACAGGCATGGCTATGTACTTTGAAATGTAGCTAATCTAATGATCATGAATATAATAATCTTATTAGAGCCAATAAAAGGAACAATCAATTCAAGGACATAAACCCATTCCCTAGACCATTTTTTTTTTTAAGTTCCAGGACACTTTTACTAGAGTTTAAAAGGAAAAACCAGACCAGGAAAGCGGCAACTCTTTTTTTTTTTTTTTTAATTTTTAACTTTTTGGTTTTTCGAGACAGGGTTTCTCTGTGGCTTTGGAAGCTGTCCTGGAACTAGCTCTTGTAGACCAGGCTGGCCTCAAACTCACAGAGCCCACCTGTCTCTGTCTCTGCCTCCTGAGTGCTGGGATCAAAGGCGTGCGCCACCAAGGCACTGCCAAAAGCTGCAACTCTTATAAACTGCCATGCTGCTTAAGCTGGCTTAGAGGTCAGACTCATGGTAGACAAGGAACCACATGGCTGGGAGGAAGCTTCAGTAGGAAGTCCAAAGTGTTAGGGAAAGCATGCTAAGAACAAGGGTGACAGAAGAGGAAGAGTCAGGCTTTCCAGGTAATTCAGAAAATGAATAATCTTGGGAAGCAGCATGGCTGCACTCTTAAAGACTGCCAACTGACTCCATTTCTTTATTTAGAATACACAGAAATTAGGTATGCAATAATAGTGCTATCTTAAGATACACAGTCTACCTGTACTGCTTGTTCGTAACACCTAAAAAACACACCAGAAAACTTACGAACATAGACACTGTCATAAGAAACACTATTTGAAGGCTTACTCTGGATTACAGTTGAGTTTCTGAATGTCTTCATGCAAATTTGGAACTGGAGGCCTCAAAGGTGTCGAGGGAAGCATGTTCCTTTCTTGAAGAAGATTGACAATTCTTAGACCTTCTGGATGTAGACTTAATCCACTCATGCTTGCAGTTAAATGATTAGCACCTAAAGAAGTCTACAAACAGATTCAAAGTGAATAACCTTTGTAGGTGTATAGAGTTTGGTTAGAAGAGCATCCTCTAAACTCCTGGCCATGCTGAGGTTCTAGAGAAGTTAGTACGTACAAAACAAAAGTCTTATGAAATGGGGCTGGAAAGATGGCTCAGAGGTTGGGAGCACTGGCTGCTCTTCCAGAGGTCCTAACTTTAATTCCCCCACATAGAGGCTAACAACCATCTATAATGAGATCTGGTGCCCTCTTCTGGCATTCAGGAGGAACATTGTATCCATAATAAATAAAAATAAATCTTTAAAAACGCCTTATGAAATATTTTTATTCTAAATGGCTATAAAATGTTCAATGTACCTTTTACCAAAAGGTAAAAAAAAAAAAAGGTTTACCTGAGTAAAGGCCTGTGGGCCACTTGGGTAATTCAGGGACGAGGGTGGCATTCCAGCTGAACTAGATGGCGCTGTGTTCTGGTAGCCAGGTGGTAGGGAGGGGTATGCATATCCCACACTTCGGCTCATTTTGGGGTTCTGATTAATAAGCTGTGGTGTTGCTAGAAACAAGGTAACTTTTAAGTTCTATTTTATGTTCCACAGTACATAATACACCATAATAATCCATTAAATTATGAAAATTATAACATCAATCCTTTTGAATTAGTTTCATTTATCAACTTAAAGAGAAACAATCATTAGTAACAAGTAATAGCAAGATCAATATCTAGTTAGTGTAGACTACAGCCATAAACACAGAAATAAGTTCAGCATTCTTCATTTACATCCATATCATATAATAAATTTCATATTTAGACTAAATTTCATTTAAAAAAAAAAACCTTTAACAAATTCATCCTAAATGCAATTTAGGGGCTTAGGTACATGAATTTAAACATGTATAATTAATTAAAATTGGGCACATAAAGCCCGAAGCTCCAATTTAGAATGCCTAGAGGTAAAAAAAATATTAACAGTGGGTACATATACATAACATAAACTTTTTTCTCTGTTTCCTTCAATGAACACATATTACTTCTATGATCAGAGAAGAAAGAAAATTGTTCATTAGCATCTCACCTAAGAAGCCTCCTCCTTCAATTTGATCGTAAGTACTATGAGCCACCATAGATCCATTATTGGGATTTGATGTAACACCTAAAATGGAAATCCATCAACAAGATTTAAAGAAGAATGACTGCTATAGTTTCTCTACAAAATGAACTAATACCTAAAAATTTAGAAATCCTTAAAAAATAACTTAAATCATAGCCTATGAAGTGTCAAATGTTGCCAGGTGCTGAGGCACACACCTTTAATCCTAGCACTGGGAGGGCAGATACAGGTAGACCTCTGTAAGTTTGAGGCCAGCCTAGTTTACATGGTGAGTTTCATGCAAGGCTACATTGCAAACCCCTAGCTCAAAAACAAAACCATCCCAAACAACAAAATCTGGATAGAGAGATGGCTCAGTGGTTAAGAGCACTTACTGCTTTTTTAGAAGAGCTCATAAACATCTGTAACTCCACAGAGATCTGGTTCTTGTATCTGAGAGCACTGCACATATGTGCACATATCCACACACAGATACACACTGAGAAATAATAACAAATCCTCTTGTTTATTGGTTTTTCAAGGAAGAGTTTCTCTGTGTAGCCTCAGCTGTTCTAGAACTAGCTCTGTAGACCTGGCTGACCTTGAGTTCACAGAGATCCTTCTGCCTCTACCTCCAAAAAGAATAAATGTTTAAATGTGCCTACCATCAAGCATATAGATGAGTTGATTACTAGGAAGGTGTAAAGGAATGAAACCATATGATGGAAGGAGTGAGCCAACTTCTATAAATTGTACTCTGACTCTTGCATGTTTGCATGTACACACACACACATTTAATAAAAATGTATTTTAAAAAAATAGCTGGGCCTTGTGGTGCACACCTTTAATCCCAGCACTCAGGAGGCAGATGCAGGCGGATCTCTGTGAATTTGGGACCAGCTTGGTCTACAGAGCTAGTTCCAGGACAGCCTCCAAAGCCACAGAGAAACCCCATCTCAAAAAGCCAAAAAAAAAAAAAGAAAATAAAAATTTAAATATTGCAGGAAAAAAGCCAAGAATATATCTTAGTAGCTGAAAGATTGCTTGGCACACATAAATCCCTGGGTTCAATTCCCAGCTCAGCACATAAAAAAAATAAACAAGTAAAAAAGAAGCTGCTGGACTAGAGATGGTTCAGTGGTTAAAGCACTGGCTACTCTTCCAGAGGATCCAGGTCCAATTCCCAGAACCTGGATGTCAGCTCAAATCTGCCTTATAATTACAGTTTCAAAGACCTTGATGGACTTCTGGCCCACCTGGGTAGCCGGCATACATGTGGTGAAAACATAAATGCAGGCAAAACACACAGCCTACCAGAAGGTAGGAGTGTGTGTATGCTTAAAGGAAGTTGCTGGCTAACTGCTACACAATAATACAGTGTTTGCCTAGCACACACAAGATCCTAGATTTGATGCTCAGCACCACAAAACAACAAACAAACAAAAGCAAATAAAGCAGAATAAATTTAAAAAAAAAAACACAAGTTTTTAAATTTTTGCTTTTTGAGATGAGATATCATGCAACATAGGCTAGCCTCCAAATATACCAATGTTTCAAATAACTTAGATGCAGCTTTGTGAAAAAGGAACATCAGTCTTGGAATCTGTTTTTCCCCTGAAGATTGAAGAAAGATGATACAATAGTCTAACATATCTAGAAACAGACTTTTAAAGCACGGGATGCTCTCCACATCTTCCTTTCCATCCTAAACTGAGAATCTGAGCAGTGGCTTTGGCTTCCATTTACTTACCTTCGTGGTTGACAGTTGAATTCAATGAAGGTGGGAATACAGCAGCCCTAGGAGGTGCTTTCTGGGGAGGTGGGCCTCCAGCTGGAGGAGCTCCTGGCTGAAAAGTGGTAGGCAGAGGTGGATTCTGTAAGGGAAGTGCAGAACCTATGGAAACATGGGTTTTTCATGTCATGTACAAATTTAAGACAAAGGTCTCCAACAATCTTTACTAAAACCAAGCAGATTTCTAAATTGAATTTTAAAATAAAAATAGCCACCAATAAACTAATAGAAATACAGTAACTTCCTAAATTTGACATTCAATGTACAGTCTACATTTTATAACTCTTTTTTACCATGCTTCTTATCTGTCAGTTCTTAATGCAATATAAATAAACCAGCAACCCATAAACTCAGGAAGCTGGGAGTCCGTCCAAGCTGTACTGGAAGACCTGTCTCCACAAAGTACATGCACACATCATCATCAAATCACTTCTAGGGTAAGCAGAATATTCTGATATATTCTGATTATCTATTTCACTATCTGATCATAAAAACTTTAAGAAACCATATGGAATATCCCAAGAATAAATTAAAATGAATGAAAAAAAAATTTTTTTTTGGGGGGGGGTGGTTCGAGATAGGGTTTTTCTGTGTAGACTTGGCTGTCCTGGCACTCACTCTGTAGACCAGGCTGGCCTTGAACACACAGAGATCCACCTGCCTCTGCCTCCATGCTCAGCAGTAATTGTTTTAAATACAGGTCCTCACTATATAATCAAGGGTGGCCTCAAACATGATGTAATCCTCTTGCCTCAGCTTCTCATATACTGGGATTACCATAGTGTGTTGTGACCATGTCCAGCACAGTTTATTAATTTTGTTTACTTGCTAAAAATAGAGTATTGAACTAATTCTTCAATCTTCTTTTTTCTGTCTCCCTTTTTTTTTTTTTTTTTTTTTTTTTAATAAAAGTAGATCCAATTTTATTAAGGATTTCAAATTACACATTTCAAACTTCTGGAATGGGGTATAACCATTTGGAGAGCAACCAAATGTCATCATGAACACTGACCCCCGGTGTCCATCCACAAAGCACATCCCATTATGCAAGAGCCACCAGCTACCCGATCACTTTGGCAATAGCTACTTCCTAAGGAAGGGAGAGAGGGAAAGACTGTGCTAGCTCCTTAAAAAAGTGGAATTCTACCTTTAGGTTACAAACTTCAATGGTCAAGAAAATAAGCTGTGTTTAGATGAACTAGGATTACTAAAAATAGCACAAACCATCTAATAGAAAGCAACCAACCATTTTCAAAATAAAGGAAATATAACAGGTTAAGGGCTTCTAGTAGTTAAAAAGAAGGTGTTTACACCCTAAGACCTCAATACTAAAATTTCACAAAAAGAACTATCATCTCTCCACTAAAGAAAAAAACCTCGATGTAAAACAATTTTATTAACAGCAGGAATGATACTGTCCTCCAAGTACAATCCAATTAATATACCCTGTGAAAACAAGTTCCTTCACCAAAATGAACAGTAATTAGCCTGAGGTATTTTAAACGTGGCTCTCAGCATCTAAAACTTAAGTCACCTCCCCTCCTCTCCAATGGCTTCTTTATCACTTTGGGATTAGACCAGGCTATCTTTGAACTCATAAAGATTCATCTGACTCTGCTTCCCAAGTGCTGGGATTAAAGGCGTACGCCACCACCACCCAGCTATTTTGTTTTTATTATGGTATAACTTGTTAAAAATGAAATTACAGGGCACTCCTCCCTTGGTGGCTCGATCTCTAATGTCATTATGGGGAGTTCCTTCTCACTTTCCTCTGTTTAAAAATGAGATTATGGCCAAGAATAGCTGCATTTACCTTTAATCCCAGCATGCAGGCAAAGACAGGCTAATCCTTCTGAGTTTGAGGCCAGCCTGGTCTATAGAGTAAATTCCACAACAGTCTGGGAAACAAAGAGAAACCCTGTCTGGGGGGGGGGGGGAGAGGAGACAGACAGACAGACAGATAGATTATGCTGGGCAGTGTTGGCAAACACATTTAATCCCGGCATTTGAGAGACAAAGCAGGTGGATATCTGTGAGTTTGAAGCCAACCTGATCTACAAAGCTAGTTAGTTCTGGGACAGACAAGGCTGTTACTACAAGTTGTCCTCTAACCTCATCTGCACCGTGGCATTTACTCACACATTCACACACTAACCAAATAAGAGGCTCTTGCAGATGACCCAGGTTTGATTCCCAGAACCTACACTGGGTTTACAACTATCTATAACTCCTGTTCCAGGGAAGCTGATGCCCTCTTTTAACCTCTGGCACAGTATGAGGCATGCATGTAGTGCACTTACATAGACAGATGCAGGCAGCTGAACTTAGTGGCTCACAGCTTTAATCACAGCACTTGGGAGACAGGGGCAGGTAGTCTCTGTGAGTTTGAGGCCAGTCTGGTCTATAGAAAAAGTTCCAATAAAGCCAGGGATGTTAACACAGAGGAGCTATGTCCAAAAAACAAAACAAACAAACATAGATGCAGGCAAAACATTATTGAACAAAAATCTAAATTTTAAAAGAAGATTATTATTTATATGAATGTGTGTACATGAGTGATGTATATTCACCATATGCATGCCGTGCTGGCTGGTAGGGGCCAGAAGAGGACATTAGATCCCCTGCAGCCAGAGTTATAGACAGTTTTCAGTGCTATGTGGGTGCTGGGACTTGAACTCAAGTCCTTTGTAAAAAGTAGTATACACTCTTAGCTCTAGAGTCACCTCTCCAGTCCTTTGGCCGGTTGGTCCGTCTGTCTGTGTACCTATTTGAGATGGGGCCTCATATGGCACAGATGAGCCTCCAAGTCATTATATGGCAGAAGATGATCTTGAACCCTGATCTTCCTGCTTTACCTCCTGAGGACATGCTGTCATGCCTCATTTATGAGATTCAGGAGAACTGGGGGTACACACACAGATCTTCAGCTGGGCAAACACTCTACTGATTGAGCTCTACTTTGAGCCATTCTCCAGTTTTTTAAGACAGAGCTCACTATATAGCCTTGAAGTCATGATTCTCCTACCTCAGCCTCCTGAATGCTCATTTATTTTTAAGATTTACTTATTTTTATTTTATGTGTATGGGCCTTTGCCTGTATGTATGTCTGTGAATATATACGCATGCGGTACCCATAGAGACAAGCAAAGGGCAACAAATCTCCTGGAGCTGGAATGATGGTTGTGAGCTAACTAATGTGAATGCTGGGAGCCAAACCTGCTTCTTCTTCTTCTATAAGAGCAGCCAGTGCTCTTAGGCACTGAATCATCTCTCCAGCTATTCATGTGCTGGGATGATAGGCATGTATCCCCTAGGCCAGGTTCCAAAACATAAAAAACAAAACTAAATAAAACCTCCTTGTTTTTATACTTGTTAGTGATATAGTTAATATATTTTACTTATAGTAAACATGTATTTTATAAAACCAAAGGAACAAAGACAGCCAAATATGAAAAATTTGAAAAAGTCATCTTATACTGCTAAATTCTCCAGGACCAAATGGAAAAATCTTTGTTATTAATAAACCTTATTGATTTAGCAAAAATTAATCAGTGTTCAGTGGGAAAGTAAAGATTGCTGCCATGCAGCTTCCTTATCAAGAAAGCACCCATTCATCTATGACAGTACACACAATTTAAAAGAACAAAGGGCAAGGTGCACTCCCAACTCAGCATTAATAAGAATCTATGACCATGACACCACCAAAAGATGTCTAACCACAAAGTTCCAATGGCTTAATGTTTAACAAAACACAAGTTAGCTTACGGGTGTTTTTCATATCTTAGAACACGTTTTAATTCAGAAAATGCTATATTTCACAAAAGACTTGTTTAAAAAGTATTTCAAGACAAGGTTTCTCTATGTAGCCCTGGCTGTCCTGGAATTTACTCTGCAGACCAGGCCTAAAGGTGTGCACCACCATGCTAGGCCATAAAATAGACTTTTTATAGACAGAGTAATTCCTGTTTCTTCACTGCTAGAAATTGGTCCCAATGGCTACCTAGCACATGCTAGGCAAGTGTTAAATTGATCAATACCTATTTATAACAAGAAGAGTCAGAGTTCTGGACTTGGCCTTTTCAGATCCCTAAAAGCTAATTAATGTGAGGGTAAAAAATGCAGAAACAAACATACAAACAACAAAAAAACTAGAAAACAGAATGTGAGACTAGAAACAGGTATAACTTACATTAGGCTTTTTTCTTTTTCTTTTAATGTCCTGTGTCAAAGTAGGGTTAGGATATTACTACTACTACTACTACTACTACTACTACTACTTATTTTATGTGCATTGGTGTGTTTTGTCTGCATGTATGTCTGTGTAAAGGTGTCAGGTCTTGGGAGTTACAGACAGTTGTGAGCTGCCATGTGGGTGCTGGGAATTGAACCTGGATCCTCTGGAAGAGCAGCCAGTGCTCTTAACCCAGCTCCGGTTTTTAATGACAGTTATTTCCTGTGTGAGTCACACATCTGGTGTTCAGCGGACAACTTGTGGAAGTCAGTTCTAGCCTTCTCTCAAGTGAACAGTGTAATAGGGATAGAAGAAACTTATGTTACCAATGTTGATAGATGGTACCTCTTAACCCACTGAACCATCTCATTACTGCAGTGTGTGTATGTTGTTGTTGTTGTTATTGTTTTGTATTTTGAGACAGGATCTTATTCTGTCGGCTTTAAAGTCATGGCAATCTCATGGCTTAGTTCCAAGTTAGCAGTATTACAGGTAGGAACTGCCACACCCAGCTTGATACTAGAGTTTTTAGTTTAACACTATCAAGTACAAGAAGTGAATATAGAAATTAAAACAGATTTTTTTTTTAGAGAGCTATATATCTTTTTTACTTTCATTTTAAAGTTTATACAATTCTCATTCTGTTTCTTTAAAGATATAATCTTAGCAGGCTGGCCTTAAACTGTGATTTTTTTTTTCTGGCCTCAGCCTACCAAGTACTGGGATTACAGGCCCATGCTACTGTACCCACACTCCCGGCCCTTGTTTTTTTATGTGGGAATGATCATTATTTATGTTTTTCTAAACACAATGCTGGTGTCAAAGTATTCTACCTTAGAGCTTTTTTTTAAGGCCAAGGAAATTTTAGGTTATTGATCATGTACCCTTTCCACCAAGGTTGTACTTATTTTATCTATCTGTCTATCTATCTTTAGAGCCTGGGTCTCACTTTGTAGCCCTCACTGGTCTGAACTCATTATACAGATCAGGCTAAGCTTCAACTCATAGAGATCCAACTGCCTTTGCCTCCTGAGTGATGTAGTTGATTGGTTATTTACTTGAGAATGTTGCTCAGGAAAGACCCCAAATCCTGGACTTAAGTAATCTTCCTGCCTAAGCCTTTTGAGCAACTGGGAAAGTAGATGAAATAGTTCTTCGTTTTATTTTAGACTCATTATTATTATTATTTGTGTTTGTGTATCTGTATGTATACATGTGTGCAGATGCCCAATGCCTAAAGAGGGTGCTGGATCCCTCAGAGCTGTAGTTATAGGTATGTCCAGGCTATTTGGCTTATTTATTACATGAGTACTGATGTCTAAACGCCTGTCCTCATGACTGCACAACAAGCACTCTTGACAGCTGAGCCATCTTTCCAGTCTTTAAAATAGTTTTTAATAGTTTTTTTTTTTCAAGACAGGGTTCCTCTGTGTAGTTTTGGAGCCTATCCTAGCACTAGCTCTGTAGAGCAGGCTAGTCTTGAACTTACAGAGATCTACCTGCCTCTGCTTCCCAAGCACTGGGATTAAAGGCGTGTGCCATCACCACCAGGCTTCAATATACATTTTTAATCTCTGTATAGCCCAGGCAAGCCTTAGTACACCTGCCTTGTTTCACATGTTGTGGAATTACAGCCATGTGCTACTATGCCCAGCATATTTTATTATTATTATGTGCATGTGTATGAATGATGCGAGGGGGCACAAGACACACACAACTGTGTGGAGGTCAGAGGACAACTATCTGTAGTTAGTTCTCTTCTACCATTGCATGTTCTAGCAACTGAACCCAGATAACCAAGCTTGCATAGGCACTTTTACCCACTGAGCCATCTCATCAACCTGAGATCTTCAGATTTATTCTTAGCACATACTCTGAGGAAATGAACCAGTAAAAGCTTCCAAATGAAATGGCTAATATCAATAGCTATCTTCTTTTATTCATATTCCCTTAACTATATACAAATACTTTCTACCAAGCATGTAATTTGTTAGCTGCTGAAAGTGATCTAATGGTGGTAGAGGGTAGAGTGGGCAGTCCTCGAGACTGACCTAAGGTCCTGGCACTTGATAAGCACACAGCTGCAATTTAACCACATTCCCATGTCCCTGCACTAGGGACATATAGGCAGGAGACCATTTCAAGGTCATCTTTAGCTGCATAATATACTCAAGGACAAGGTTGGCCCAAACTAAAGAATATCCTATCTCCCCAAAGAAAAGGCTGAAAGAAAAACAGACAAAGTGGTGGAGCCCAGACCCTTCAGTTCACTCTCCCAGTGACTGCACAACTGTTAGACCCAGCCCCTTCAGTTCACACACCCCGTGACTGCACAACTGTTAGACCCAGCCCCTTCAGTTCACTCTCCCCGGGACTGCACAACTGTTAGACCCAGACCCTTCAGTTCACTCTCCCCGGGACTGCACAACTGTTAGACCCAGCCCCTTCAGTTCACACACCCCGTGACTGCACAACTGTTAGACCCAGCCCCTTCAGTTCACTCTCCAGTGACTGCACAACTGTTAGACCCAGACCCTTCAGTTCACTCTCCCCGGGACTGCACAACTGTTAGACCCAGACCCTTCAGTTCACACACCCCGTGACTGCACAACTGTTAGACCCAGCCCCTTCAGTTCACTCTCCAGTGACTGCACAACTGTTAGACCCAGCCCCTTCAGTTCACTCTCTCTGGGACTGCACAACTGTTAGACCCAGACCCTTCAGTTCACACACCCCGGGACTGCACAACTGTTACACCCAGCCCCTTCAGTTCACACACCCCGGGACTGCACAACTGTTACACCCAGCCCCTTCAGTTCACTCTCCACATGACTGTTGTCATACCATTTCCACTAATAACTAGGAGTAACTTTTATTAAATATTTATTATTTTTAGGGTATCACCAAACCTCTTTGCATGTGTGTATATCCCAAATGCTATGGTTTAAAAAGGCACGTGTCACACCTATCATCTTTTAGGCCTATGGAAATGACTGCACAAAAACCTAAGTCCCTGGAAATCTTAGGAGAGACTGAAAGAAAAGATAGCTTAGAGAACCAGATGTTTGGGAGGCTTGGGTACAGGAATTGCAATTCAGCATAGACATCATAACAAGACCGTGTCTCCTTAAAAAAGGAAAGAAAAATGAAATACCTACGAAGCAAAAGCAGTAAGAATTCAGGAATGGAATGGAATGTAAGCAAGTTATTAACTTGAAGATATAAAAAGAAACTTATTTAACGATTAATTGATTTTAAAAACCATCTTTCTATAAAGCTTCATGTATTCAGGGCAAATCTAAAGGAGCAAGTTTTACATTTCTACATTTCACACATTCCTCAGTACCTGGCTTTATGAAGCTGGCAGGGTCTCCAGAAGAAACATACTGATGCTGTGCTGTTAAGTTTGTATTCCCAGACATAGTAGGTTGAGCTACATGAGGAAAATGGTTAGTCTGTGGTCCTGTAGATTGATAGTTATATTGCCAATTCAAAGGTGGTGGTGGGTTGGCTCCAGGAAGAAAGCTAGCAGAAGGCATTGGTGTAGCAGCTAGGTTCTGAGAAGTAGGTGGTGGCATTCGGGTAACAGGACCACTGTGAAGTGGAGGTGGTACTGGATTGGAAGCCACAAGTGGTCTATTAAGAGTCTGCCCAGATCCCTGAGAACCACCATAGTTCAACTGTGCAGAGACTGGATCCAAAGTCTTTGCTGGCATTGGACGAGGGTAGGATCCTGGAAGCTGGGAATCATATCCTTGGCTCGATGACACTTGTGATGACATCAGTGTATTTTGAACAGGACCTTCAGGTAAGAAAGAAGGAAAATTAGTCTTACAAACAAATATAACAATACTTTTAAAGACACAACAATAGGGCTAAGAATGGGGTTCATACAAAATCCTGATTTCAATACGCAGGAGCTATACTTACTGTAAGTATAGCACTCAGAACATTTATGCAGGATGATTGTAAATTCCAAGACACCTGGGTTACAGTGAGACTCTGTATCAGAAAATCAAAACAAGGGCCTGAAGACAGCATTGTCATGAGGGAAGAGCATATACTATATGCTGGGCATGGGGGCACAAGCCTTTAATCCCAGCACTAGGGAGGCAGAGGCAGGTAGGTCTGTGAGTTTGAAGCCAGCCTGGTCTACATGGTGAGTTTCAAGACAACCAGGACCAAACTGAGAATGGTGGTATATACTTTTGTTGTTTGTTTGGTTTGGTTTTTTGAGACAAAGTTTCTCTATGTAGCCCTGGCTGTACTAGAACTCCTATAGACCAGGCAGACCTGGAACCCAAAGATCCACCTGCCTCTGCCTTCCAAGTGCCAGAATTGTGCACCAGTTTATGTATGGTTTTAATCCTAGCACTTGGGAGGCAGAGGTAGGCAGATCTCTGGAATTTCAAAGCTAGCCTGATTTACATAGAGAGTTCCAAGCCAGCTAAGGGCTACAACAGTGAGAACCTGTCAAAACACACTCACACATAAAACCAACAAAATATTAACTATTATTACACTCAGGGGCTAGAGAGATGAATAAACAGTTAAGGACAATGGCTGCTTTTGTTGAGGAGCAGGGCTCTTCATGTGGGTCCCCATAATGTGAAACTGTATTACAGGGTGACAGCATTAGAAAGGTTGAGAACCACTGCTTTTTTAATTCCTGCACTTGAGAGGCAAAGGCAGATGGATCTCTGTGAGAGTAAGGCCACCTTGGTCTACAAAGCAAGTTCCAGGACAGCCAGGGCTGTTACACAGATAAATCCTGTCAGAAGAAAAGAGATGCAACACGATAAATGAAAGACCCAGAGACAGATACTGGGGTTCAAACTTCAAGCTGAAGATTAGAAAAGTAAAGTAGTAGGCCATTAGCTCTTATCACTACCTCAGGCTGAATGGGCTGATCCTACTGCCTCGCCTCAGTGTGACTATAGAATCCTGAGACTAAATGTCTTCCTCTCCTCAGTGTGGCTGGAGAATGAATGGCAGATACTGAGACCTTGCTCCTGTCTTATATCTCTCTCTAATACTGGGATTAAAGGCATGTAATCCCAGGTGCTGAGATCATCTTTGTGTGACTTTTTGGACTGGATCAATCATGTGTAGATCTGGGTTGCCTTGGACCAAGTCCTAGGATTAAAGGTATGTACCACTACCTCCTAGCTTCTGGCTATTGGGATTAAAGTTGTGTACCTGACTCCTATGGCTTGTGGCTGACTCTGCTTTCTGAATCCTCAGGCAAGCTTTAATAAATCATAAATAATATATCACCACAAAGAGAAGTGAAGAAAGAAAAATGGAAAGAGAAGCAAAACATACATGTTTAATAATTATATGCACAGACATTAACTTGGGGCCACAGAGATGGCTCAGTAGATAAGAAAACTTGATGTGTCATCATGAAGACTAGAGTCTAGCAGGAAGAGAACAAACCAGGTATTCCATAAACACCCGGGACTCCAGCTGGGGTAGGGGGACGCTTAGACCTTCTTCTGGCCACACACAGGCAAAGACACTTACACCTACATACACACACACACACAAATAAATAAATAAATAAATAAATAAATAAATAAATAAATAAATAAATAAAATCTAAGACCAGATATTTATTCAGCATAATAGACACTGGAGAACAAGAAACAAAAATGAAACCAAGATAGCCACCCAGACAAATCAGGTGGTTAAAACAAAAAAGAGTGCAGTAACGGAGTCAGCATGCTAGTGGGAATGTAGCGCATGCATCTATCACTCCTGCTCTCAACATTTTAAACGGTTACCAAATGAGCTTGCAATCCCCTTACGTTGCAGTGACTTCACACAAATGCTTGCAGCAGCATTATTTACAATATCCATAGTGCTGCCATGCTCCCACCATGATGATAATGGACTAAGCCTCTGAAACTGTAAGCCAGCCCCCAATTAAATGCTTCCCTTTCTAAGAGTTATCTTAGGGAGCTAGTGAGATGGCTCAGCTGTTAAGAACACTAGATGTTCTTCCAGAAGTCCTGAGTTCAGTTCCTAGCAACTACATGGTGGCTCACAACCATCTGTAAAGACATCTGATGCCTTCTTCTGAAATTTGGGTGTACATACAGAGCATTCATAAATAATTAGTTTTTTAAACCGTTACTTATAGATATAAATACTTTGTTTTGATATGGATTTTCACATATTGATACAAATTTAAGGTCAATTTTGTGATATGTTTAGGTATTGTGTTTATATAACTCATTTAAAAATATAATGTATAACTTAGCACAGATCATAGTTACCTATAATAGTCAAAACTTATAGTTGTTAGTTAGGATTTCTAGATATACAGAGATGTACTTGAGATAAATAGACATTCTTCAAACCTTTCAAAGACTTACAGAATATGGCATTTAAAATGGTTTAGGGTTTTTCTTGACAATGAGACGTAACTGCTCCTGGTAACACCACTTATGTCAGAAAGGAAGATGGACATCAAAGAAACTTGTCATGGAGTTTGCTTTCAAAATGGCAAGACTAGCCATTTGGGCAAGATACTGCTCTAGTCTGTTTGACTTTATGCTGTATAAACTGGACATGCAGGACCCACAGGAAAGTGACTGCTGATACAAGATGGACATTGCTACAGGATTCTTGCTTCATGGAAGAAGAGTCTGCCAGACTGCAGGACACAAAAAAAGGTGACTGACAAATTACAAATACTGATAGTTTAAAGTTTCCTGCTTTGCTGAGGAGTCTGCCAGACACACTGTGGCCTATAGGATAAAGATAGAACATTACAAAAAAACTTCAGGTGACTGATCAAGTAGCAAGATGTCTCTGTCATTTCTAGAGTTTATATATTATCCTTCTGTGGTTTTTGATGGAGTTAAAGACAGATAGCTATGGTTATAATTTTCCTTAGTTAGGATTAAAGATAAGTTACATATAGGACTTCAGACTCACAAAGATAAGATAAATGATGAAATATTTTCTTTAAATCTTGCTAAATGTTAATAAACTAAATATTGTTAACTATAGTTCTTGTTTGATAACTGTTTTGTTTTATATATATTACTATGTTAAAGTTAAAGCCCTTCTTTTTATTTTAGACAGAAAAGAAGAGATGATGGAAGATGTCATTCTGTAAATATGTTTGTCATATTGATTAATGAATAAAGCACTGTTGACCAAAAGGAAAGCAAGATAGGCGGGACTAGGAGACTAGGAGGAGAGAGGAAGTAGTAGGGAGGAGTCAACATGTAGAGATTTGAGGGAACAGAGGTCCCGGCCCTCTCTCTGGTAAGATGAGACCACGTGGAAATACTTAGATTAATAGAAATGGGTTAATATTTAAGAGAGCTAGTGATAAGAAACTAGTAACTGGCCTACAGCTTTATATCTAATACAGCATCTCTGTGTGTTATTTGGGGCCGGCAGGGAAAAAAACATACTCTTAACAGTTACTTTGGTCATGGTGTCTCTTCATAGCAATGGAACAGAGAATAAGACAGAAGTTGGTACCACAGATTGAAGTATTATGTGACAGGCCTGACCATACTGTTTGTTGGAGGAACCTGGAAGACATTGGGATTCAGACTAGAAAAGCAGTTGGATACTTTTAAACCAGGCTTAATGGGCCATCCTAGTAGGAGAATGGAAGACAGTGCTAAGGGAATTTTGAACGGTGGGGCCCAGCTCAAGAAATTTCAGAGAGGAAAGAAGAGTAGCAAGTGGCCTAGAAATCATTCTTGTGGCCATTTCTTGTCCTTCTAAATATCTGCCTGATCTACAATGAAAAGTAATAAGTGAGGCAACAAGAAATAAAACATGTGGGCTGGAGAGATAGCTCAGAGTTTGGGAACACTGATTGTTCTTCCAGAGGTCCAGAGTTCAATTCCCAGCAACATCTACAATAAGATCCGGTGCTCTCTTTCTGGCATGCAGGCATAGATGCAGGCAGAATACTGAGTACATAATAAATAAACAAATCTTAAGAAAAGAGAGAGAGAAAAAAAAACATGCATAGTTTGAGGGAAAAGGAGCACCAGGAAACTAATGAAGCTAAGTCTAGTGCTCCAGTTTAAAAAGAAAAGCCTGGAGCTAATTGAAGTAAACAGAATGGTGACCTCTGGGCAAGACCACACCCAGCTAGGCTTCCAGGTGTGAAAAGGAATCAAGGAAAAGCTTAGGGAGTAAAGGAAACCACATACAACAGAAAACTGGTGCAGATATAATTGAATAAGGGGGCCAAGTTCTATCCCCATCAAATAGCCAAACTTGGCAGCTTTGGCCATGTGGTTCTAGTTTTAGAGTCAGGGATACAAGAAAGGGAATATGGAATCTCCTTCCAATGCTAAGGAAAGCTGTCAAGGACATGTATGTGTTAGGGACACCCCTGAGTAGAGAGACCACTGTGTGAAGCTGTTAAGGTGGAACCTGGATTTCATTGAATACTTCAAGAGGATGGAGATGCCAGACTCGTGGGATACGTGCCACACACCTCAGGTGTGGAACCAGCAGTCAACAAAGCTGAAAGGAGTTGCAGATCTGAGGAGTGCTTTGATTATCAGACATAAAGATGCAGACTTTGGAGTTTGCCCCGATGGTTTTAGGTCTTGCTTTGGCACAATATTTCCTCACTATGCTCCTTTTCCCCCATTTTGAAATGGTAATGTATATTCTGTGCCACTGCAAATTAGAAATGTGACCTGCTTTTTTTATTTTGATTTTATAAGAGCTTACAGTTAAGATAACCCCATAAGTCTCAGAAAAGACTTAAATTTCTTGTTTTGGTTTTGTTTTTTGAAATACGGTTTCTTT